AACCTGATCTGGCATTGTTTTTGTTTCTCATTTAAGGTCTTTTCATTGAAAGAATCTGGAAGTTTCCAAGTGGCATCGGTAATGAAATTCAGTTACTGTAGCGTCCTCTCCTAACAAGCATTCAGTTTCATTTAAAAGCAATCCGGACGCAGTAATGATGCTTTTCTACATTTATAACCCATAGCTGTAATTAGGTGGTTGGGATGCATTTTGTACCAACATATTTAATAACTGAAGAGTGGAGGGTTTAACTGTCCAGAAGCTAAGCTGGTAACACGGAGGCTAACTACTGGGTTATTATGAGACTCTGTAAACATATTTAAAACGTAAAGCTTAAAGAGCAAGTCACCCCCTACCAGATTGATGGTAAATGGCAAATGGCCTGAATTTGATGTAGCATCTTCTAGAGTCCTGGAACCCCTCAAGGCACTTTACAACACAATCAGTCATTCACCCATTCACACACACTGGTGGGGATGAGCTACCATGTAGCCACAGCTGCCCTGGGGCGCACTGACGGAGGCGAGGCTGCCGAGCACTGGCGCCACCGGTCCCTCCGACCACCACCAGCAGGCAACGTGGGTTAAGCGTCTTGGTCAAGGATACAACGACAGCGACAGACTTGAGTGGGGCTCGAACCTGCAACCTTCCGATTATGAGGCGAGCACTTAACTCCTGTGCCACCGTCACCCCAGATTCTAACTCCACTCCCACTTCCTGTTAAGCGCCTCGTGATTTTTATCTTGAGAGGCGCTATAGAAATGATTCTTTCTTCTTCTTCTTCTGTTTGAAAAAGGCAACAAATGCTGTTGCCTAGCAGACCGAGAGGGCGGAGCCACTAACAAATACACACACAGGCTCTTAACGACATTGTGACATCATATGGTACCAGATAACGTTCTAGGGTGCCTCTTAGCCAATAGCGATGGCAGATTTAAATTCAAATGCAGTGCAGAGTTTTTACCTGACAACGACACAACTCTGACAGTTTTAGGCAGAAAAAAGTGCAAAACTATTGACGACACGTGTCTGCAGCACGATTACACACATTTATATAGTTTATCAGAAAAAAAATGTTGATTTGGGGGTGACTTGCTCTTTAAATTATCGAGCACACCGGCAAATGTGTCTTCATCACACCTGCTTATGAAATTACTACGAAGTTGTGATTAAGGAACATTTAGTCTTTTTTCACGTGTTTTCTCAGGCTTGCCTCCATTAATCATTAGCTAAACACATACCTGTGCACTCTGTGGGTACATCACGTCACAGACGAGCTGTGAAATGTTTACCAAGCGCTGCGTTACTAAAAGCAACGTTCTGTATGTCCTGCCTTTACTCAACCACACACAGCACCCTCAGAATAACCTCCGAGTCAGAGATGTGGTGGAAAGTTTGTTTTCATGCTGTAATCATCAGAACAGGGCCTTGTTCGGGTTAGGGGTCCTCTTTGATTCTAATGATTGATTAAATCAACCGTGCCCGTTCAGCTCATGTGGACAGAAGTAAGTTGGGTACTGGGTTAGGTTCTGATCCTGGATAAAGCCCCAAGCAGACAACACAAGTCAAACGTCCAAGTCCCATTCTCCAGTCTCCGTTTCCAGAATACAGGAGGATGCTGGGTGCAGCTGATGCTGTTAAACAAACACAAACGTGATGCTGTCTCAACATTTACACCTGTTGTCGGTGCCCTTTCTGCCCTAGTTCCTAACGTAAGGCACCTACGTGACCGCTGTGGACCCTCCAGACTTCTGACAGACTTCTGTGCCGGTCAGGAGTGTTCTGGACTCTGACCCCACTGAGCGTTAAAGAGACAGAAGCCGCTGAGACCTAGATCAGAGATCCAGTGGGTAGCACTGGACTTATTCTACTGAAACCCCCTCATCTACTTCTGCTCAGGCAACAGCTTAGTAAGCTAGCACACCTAGCTACCACAGATCTGGCCAAACTTCCTGTCCAGCTTCTCTGAGCCAAAAAAGCGTTATTCATGCACATGGAGAGGTATCAGCTGAGGAGGAGGGATGGTGAGAGGGCAGCTTGATGGACGGATCACGATCCAATCATGAATATCGGGACGTTCACCGTGATTGGATGTTTTTCCAGGATCATACGTTTCAGATGCGATTAAAATTATTCCTTATTTTTTTAAATAACAACAGTTTATTGGTTTCCATTGGTATGTGAAGAGTAGTTGAAGCAAAATGTCCAAAATGCTCCAGAATAATATCTCTTGCTTAAATGCTTGCCTTCTTTATGCAAATAAACGATCACGCATGCCGCTGGAGCCGCTTGGTTTCTTGTTTCTGCTCCGTGTGAGCGCCACCGAGTAGCCCCGAGGGACCGTCATGTCCTATGACGTAAAAGATGTAAAAGAGTGAAACGAGACTGGGAACATCACCTTCTCACGTGCATGACTGCCTCCTGTGTACGCGCGTATCTGTGTGTGTGTGTGTGTGTGTGTGTGTGTGTGTGTGTGCGCGCTTTGTTGATTCTGTTACTACAACACACACAGAAGGAGACTTCCTGGTCCCCTGCGGAGCTGTTGCAGCTGCATGCCTTCACTGGGAGGACAGCTCGTGTGTTCAGGGCCGACACCGTTATCGTGAGCCTCAGTACACCAAACTTGTGCCTCACGGGAACTGAAATGTGAGACCGCCGCTCTTTCCCGGGACAATCGATCCTTTGTTTTGGTTTTGGAATGAGGTGGGGAGTGGTGCAGCACGTACCTGTCAGGACCTGACCGCTAGGATCCTCATCAGCCACCTGAGCAGATACCCAGATAGCTCACACTGAAGCAAGCTCATTCTAAAATGACGAAAGTGAGTGTTTTATTTAGAGACCACTTTCATCTGAAAACAGATTCATCCCAGTGTTATAGATAGGAAAAACGGTCTAAAAGGTGAGCGCTTTGATGTCTCTTTCACAGCGATACCGAGCCAAAAAAAGTCACAGATGTTAATGTTTACCGCCGTGTTTTATGCTGGTTAACTATTAGGAATCCAAGGTTCAGTTAGTGAGTTGGCCATGACCGAACACACCTCCTTATCAAAGACAGATATCGTTTTTTTAACTCGCCCAACAGAAACTTTCTTCATTTGTTTGATCCAGTTCAAATTACAGATGTAAAGCATGCAGCTTATTTTGACTGTAAGACGCTGGGAAACGACGCGTTTGGCTCTTTCGGGTCTAGCTGAGACCGCTCGCACCGCACCAAACCTCACGAATCAAAACAATAACTCTTCACCAGTGTGTTGCCTCAAAAAGCTCAGTTCCACGAAGCCGCCGCACGGCCGTAAAAACACAACTCATCATTTTACGCTCGCAGTTTGAGCTGAAGGTGAAGTACAGGAAGCTTTTATTTATTCAGCTGATGACTGCAGTGATGACCCTTACGTTCATCTCATCATAAAGGGAAGACCATAACTGATTCATAGCTGTCATGGTTCTTTATGAAGGGCTGAGAGTGACTCGCCAAGCCTACAGAGAGCTTTTATGTTGCTTCCACTTTCTATGCAGATTAAAGCTGAGCTGCTGAATCTGGTCTCTATTTTAACACCGATAGAGGAAGTTTGATCTCACCCGTGGTTACAGATGGAGTTCGTGTTTCTGCGGTTGGTAGATGCTTTTATCTAAAACAACTTGGAGAGGTTAGGCAGCGAGGTTGGTCAAGTGTCTCAACGATCACTGAGCAACCCGCTCAGCCACCCTCACCTGCTTCCACACGACTTTTAGGAAACCTCACTATAAATGAGTGTGGGGGAGGGGGAGGCTCTGGCGCTCCTGTTTCAGGGGGCAGAAGTTTGTAGGAGGAGTGTGGGGGTTGGGTTAATCACATGAGTCTTACTCATTAGCTCATTCACTGACATGTTTTTACTGTGTGGGCGTCGGACGAGCCCCCGCATCGTGAGAACAAACATCTCGGCTCTAAAGCCGATCTTCATCTGCATACGTCACATGTCACGTGATCAGGAAGCAGAACATCCATGTGTTAGGAGATCGTTTTGGGTCGCTGCTGTAAAAAAAAGTGAGGCGCGAACCGGAAAAGCTTCTGCCGATCACAATTCAACAACGGATTATGAAAGAACGGATAACGCTCGAAACGCGCAGATTCTTCCTGATGTAAGAGGTGAGTCTGCGCTGTTTTGGTTGTGTTGGCGTCGACATCATCCTAGCACGCAACGTTCTGCAAGTCTTAATAAAACAGTAAAAACGGAGAGAAACGCTGGCAGCGAATGAGTTGTTATTCATAATATGCCAACGTCTCGCTTCTGATTGGCTACCAGCAGTAAGACTCTTCCGCTGCTTTCGTTTGTGATTTTATTGATGTTTTCTCTCCAAAAACAAAACAAGTCAGAATACCGGGGGTGCTAACGGTTAGCTTCTACTAGCTGAGACACGCTCTGCTCTCCTCTTGCTGTGGGCGGAGTCAGTGAGTACTAACTTCCTCTGTGACTGGCTCTGCTGCTAATGCAGGCGATGGGGGTTGAAGATGATGTTCACGTGTGAAACTAACGGTGAAGGTCACACTGTTTCTATGGAAACAAGGCCTTTAAAGCGGCAGTGTTTAAACACTAAAGCACACTTGCAAGTGTGAGGTAAGATGGTTCGGCCCATCTGTGCCACCAGTCATATGCCTCTTAAATAAATAACACAGCATGTGCTCTAAACACCATATGTCGGGTTGTTTTGGGTTGGACGGGCCTGAAAGTCCTGATTTTGGTGCTGAGCGACTTGTTGGCTGGTGCAGCTTTTGTATCAGGCTGACCAGAGGATAGCTGCAAGGATCAACATCTTCTCTGTTCTTCTGCAACGCCTGAAGCCGAAAACGTTATTCCTGCTTCCAAACGTTCGTGATGCAACCGACCGTCAGACTGAACAACCGTTTCATGTGCTGCCAGCTGATTACTAGAAAATTAACCAGTTTTGTTTCCCTCTCCCTCCTTTGGTCTGAAACTTTCCCCCATCTTCCCCTTCCCCTTCTTCCTTTTCCTGTTTTGCAGAGGAAGCTGACTACGCGGCGTTTGGCACAGACTCTCTGACCAGGAAGAAGAACACGGTTCTTTCAGCGGTTCTTCTTCGGCCCGACGCCAACAAGAAAAAGCCGCCGGTGATCATCAGCCTCCCGAAAGACTTCCGGCCCGTGTCTTCCATCATCGATGTGGACATCCTTCCAGAGACGCACCGCCGCGTTCGTCTGTACAAGCACGGCCAGGAAAAGCCGTTGGGGTTTTACATTCGCGATGGCTCGAGCGTGCGGGTCACCCCACAGGGCCTGGAGAAGGTCCCGGGGATCTTCATCTCACGCCTGGTGCCCGGCGGCTTGGCCGAGAGCACCGGCCTTCTGGCTGTTAACGACGAGGTTCTGGAAGTGAACGGCATCGAGGTGGCTGGGAAGTCTCTGGACCAGGTGACGGACATGATGATCGCTAACAGCCACAATCTCATCATCACCGTGAAGCCTGCCAATCAGCGAAACAACGTCGTTCGCTGTGGAGGAGGAGGGGGCGCTGCCTCTGGCAGTTCAGGTCGCTCGTCAGACAGCGGCGCCAGCTACTACGGCTACTCGGCGCACGGCGCCGTGGCTTCGATGCCAACGCACATCATCCAGAACTTTAGCGCCGGGGAACTGGAGAGCGACGAAGACGAGGACCTGGTGATTGAAGCGGGAGGCGAGGCTGAAGCCATCCGGCACGCTCCCTCCGACTACAGCATCCCTTCGGTGCCTCGCTACGAACCACACCTCAACCTCCGCTCCCACTTCAGCTCCGCCTACTCCATCAACGCCAACGGGACGCTGCATGGCAGTGGCAGCAGCGGGTCACCGAATAACATTAATGCTAATTCGGCCTCGCCGTCCCCAGACAGAGCAAAGGAGAGGCGGAGCCTGGAGGAGGATGGCACCGTTATTACGCTGTAGACCCAAACCGGAGAACAGAAAGAGACACCTCCACATGCTTCAGGAGGTGGTGGCAGAGTCACGGAGCAACATTTCAAACCTGTACCTGTACTCTTGAAACACATTTTAATGTAAACGTCCGCAAAAGTTCGTACATTCTAGTAACGTCCACATTCAACACTAATGCTTCTCTACATGCCAAGCTAGTGTGCCATAGTGCTGACCCACAGGCACACCAACGTCTTCAGCGTGGATCTAGTTTTAACCTTTTAACGGCGTGTTGAAGAGGTCCATGAGGAACATCAGTCACCTATCTGCTTGGTGGTTCCTACGGGGTAATGCCAAAGCAGTTGACCAAATCCTGACAAACGCGTTTTTAAGCGTTGGCTTGTGTTTCCTGGCCAGAAGACGTTAAACCACTGCTCATATTCGTTTTCCACTTTGTTTTTACATCGCTGTGATCAATGACGGACCGAAGAACCCTGCGTTTTTAATCTTTGTGTCTTTTTTTTTTTCTTCTCAGACCAAGTTCAAGTAGAGAAACGTTCCAAATTCACACCTGGATGGCCTCTTAAGCCATATCTCACTACCTGCTGGGGACAAAAGCAGTTTCCAAAATGCCTCAAAATCTTCACGAGGTCCTTTCAGTCGCGGGGCGGCGCTTCTCTGTTGCTTTTTGAACAAATTTACTTTCCATATGGTCTCCAGCTTGTCTGGAGCTACCCTCGGTTTAGTTTTCGTCAGTCAGGAAGTACGAAACGATTTGGGGAGGTATTAAGCTCCTGGGACCGTTTTTTAATCTCGCCCTGCTGTTTGGGATGAGCAGAGCCTCGTGAACGTGGAGAAAAATATATTTATACATAACTTTAGTCCTTTAAGACGGCGTCCCTACCTGTGGACGCCGGTTCTCGGGGGTTAGGACACTTTGTGGCTAAATTGCAGAATAAAATAAAAACTGTTTTTGGCTTTGCACAAGCGTCATGCACCCTTGTGACCCGGCCTTTATTTTATGCCTCCAACCGAAACTCGCAGCCCTTTGAGATAAAAACCTGTTTGTTTGTTTTGTTGTTGTTGTTGCACTCCATAACACAACGTGGACCGTTTCCTGATGTACATTTGGGGATAAAGGAAGGTGACGTTGAACCTGAGCTTCCTCCTCGTTTTCGTCTGATCCAGACCCCGCCGAGTACGCCCCAGGACGCTTCCACGTTTCGTGTTTAAATCCATCAGCTGAAAGCCGTTTAAACATTTCAGTTTTACTTCGGTGAGTCCGTTTTTATTTGTATGAAGTGTCGATGATTATTCGTTATTACAGCCGCAGAGGCTGGTCGGTAATCCAAACATGACCTGGTTGGAAACAAAAACACGCTCGGCGGCGTTGGATGCAAGCAAATTAGTGTATTTGCTGAAGGTGAAGCTGATCTTTATGTACCTGCGGATCATGTACTGTTGAAGTTGCTGCAGCAGCTTGGATATGATGATGTTCAAAGCAAAGAAGCCTTCAGAATTCGTTTGATCAGTCATTGTTCCCCCAAACGGCTCACGAACGTCTTTAGAATGAATCTAGTTTTGAAGCGGCAGGAAAAACTCCTCTGATCATGAAACGGATCGGTTACATTTATGGGAAGCGTCCGTTTCTGTTGCACGCTGCAGCAAACCGCCTCTGTGGAGTGAGAGCAGGTGGTCTATCGTGTCTACTATTGATTTTTTAAGCATTCGCTCTCCTGCTAAAGTGCTACGCCTTGCTTTAGCATTGATTTCTATCTTGCATATTAAAGTAAAATCAGCACACAGCCACTTTCAGGCTTCATGTGAGTCCGTGTGCACTCGTGGAGACACTTTTAGGATCATTATCATGCTAATTAGCCTCATTAGTAGCTCTGTTTATCCTCTGATGAACTTCTACGTTAGTGACTGGAATAAACATGGCTGCCTGCACAGGTACTGCCTTTGTCGGTGGAGCGCCAAGCTCCGTCGTTCCTAACTTTTCGGCCACAAATCACAACTCGAGTTGAAGTTTGGTTTTTCTACTTGTTGATAATTTATTGCCAGTGTCTCTGACTTCACCACAGGACTCCGGGATTGTAACCACACCGACATTTTAATTTATTCTGTAATCCTGATAAATGTTCTTTCTTTTTCACGTTCTGATGTTTTTACATGTTCACACTTATTGTTTCCAGCATCAAAGTGGCGGTACGGTAGATATTTTACTGTCGGTTGTGGATCATTTCAGTTTCTGGTTTTAAATATCAAAAAGGAGATTAAATAAAAAGCTATTTTCTTCATACTGTGAATTATGATTTTGTGTGGCAGTGAAACGGTTCTGTTAGCAACCTGAAATGTTTCACTTGTCGGGTTTTGTAGGCAACAGGGCGATGATTTTTGCTGCCAGATAAATTCTCTACTATAGATTTGTAATGAAGAACGTCAGTATTTTCATATCGATGCTTTCTAAATATGCGATGTGCGTTTTTATCATTTGAAGGAGACTGTTTTATGATTGAAGTGGAGATTTAAGAATACATGTAAACCTGTAACTGGTGATCGGCAGAGCTGGATAAAATAAACTAAATATGTAGCAATGAGAACTGTTTGGTGTTTTTTAATGTGTGGAAACAAACGTGCAGAGTTTGCTTTAATCGACACAGGAAATCAGCAGGGTGTGTGTCGTCTGATCTGAATCTGAGCTATTCAACAGCTCGCCATTTTCTAATTGTTCGGATAAGCTAATAAATGCTAAGATTTGTCTAAAATGTGAAATACAATATGGTCAGTTTTACTGTGGGCTAATTATATATTACTGATATTTATTACTCATAATACTTAGAAGATGGATTTTAAAATAAGTTTGGTGCATTTTCAGTAAAGAAAAATGATCACGTCCTACTGATATTGTTCTTATATGTCTGTTAAAGGATCAGAGGATGTTAATGATCGTTATCACGAACAATGAACAAGTACACGTTTTAATTATGAAATTAATTACTTTTCTCATTCTTGTCAAAAAGAAATAGATTTGATTGATAACCAAAATAATTTTTCTGAATAATTTTTCTTGTGGCGCTTAAACATCTCTACTGGAAAAACAACCCTCACTATGTCTACTTTATGGAGAAATGCTAGAATAGTAATTTTTATTCTAAAAAGTAACTTAAATAACAAGACTATTCATTCGACCACAAATTAATCATCATCTTGTAGAAAAAATTATTTACAATGTCACAAAATGTTAATTATGATTAATCGATTAATCAACTGTACATACAGACGCAGGGCGACCAGCTGTGTTGATAGTTTATTTAGCCGTAATGTGTTGCTGCCACCTGGTGGACACGTGGTGAACTACCATTCTTTTGTGCGCCGCTTAGATCATTAAATGTTCAAAGCGCCTCTGAACAAGAACACTAAAATTATTTAAGTTACATTCGGAACATATTTCTAACACATTATAAAACCAATAAATTATATGCGGCCCTTTTTGGGAAGACACGTTTCAACAACTGCTTCTGTTGTCACGCCGCTAGCCTGGAGTGACAGCTGAGAATCACGTGACGTGACGTGTAACCAACATGGTGGCGCTGTGCTGAGACCGAAACGGACACCGACCGACCCGACACCCTGGCTTTCGTTAGCTTTCATCGTCACCTGCTCTTTGGCAGGGCCAGGCCGGTGATGACGGCCTGAGAGAGGATCGGTTACACGATCGAGAGATGCAGGAACAGCCACACGCGCCGCCGCAGCAGCACGCGCAGTCAGAAAACAGTAAAACCAAGAGCATGTTTCTGTCCAGGGCGCTGGAGAAAATCCTCGCTGATAAGGAGGTGAAGAGGAGCCAGAACAGCCAGCTGCGGAAAGCCTGTCAGGTGGCGCTCGGTACGTGACTCGTGTTGTTTTCTGAGCAGCTCGCCTGTTTTACGTCTTTATTCATTCCAACGTTTTATTTATGCTTAGCTTGATGGAGAGGAGCTACTTAATTAGCTTTAGCACCTTTAGCCTTTACCGTCTGCTCCTCTGCCCGTTGGCACCCTGACAGCGGGTGAATAATTATGAGTTAACACGACTCTCGTACTTTATTATAAACATTTGTTCGTGTATTAAATTGTCACCACTGTCAGGTTATTCAAGGTTACTGGTAAAGATATTGTTAGCATGTTGCGGCTAGTTTAGCTAAACAGACCAATCCTGGTGTTGTACGTAGCACTGTCACCCAGCCAGACAGTCCAGTCCTGCATCTGTTGGCAGACCGTTTTAACATATAATCACACCTCTCAGAACTCCTCATTTGCGTCTGTCAGTAATGGCATTCCTTCTTGTCTAAACTACTTCCTTATCAAGAAAATTAAAGATATACAGAGTCGCATTCCTACTTGTGATCATACTTTCTTCAAGGTTCCTGAACAACTTTGAAAACCTCAGTTTAACATATCGGTTTAACATCCTTTACATGTTTTTAATGACCTTTGTTTATTTTAATGTGAATTTCAGTTAATTTAATCAATTGGAGTCAGAAATTGTGATCCGGATGTCCAGAAGTGCTTCTAATAAAATCATCGCTCGTTACTTCAGAGATCTAAAGCGTCCTTTTCCTCAGGATAAACTAAAATGTTATTTTTGTCTAGGATTTCTAGGACGACTAAATTGATTGTAGATATCTAAAATATGAGATACTTTCTATAGTAAGCATGCTTCTTTATCTATTTAACATAGCAGCAATGTTAATTCTATAGTTTAAATGTTTTAACTAATATCTGAAGCCCATCACAGAAAACTTCAAAACAAATTGGTGTGGTGTGGTTTTGCAGACATGATTAATGGAAACCAGACTGTTATATGATTAATCAGCCTGCCATATAAACACACAAGGTATTTCACTTCCTGCTTTTCCATTCAAACACACACGGGTAACGTTACACACGTCCAACTGTTCTGTTTGACCTGTGCTTGTACTTCAGACCAACCTGCTACCTCTTTGTTTGTCTGAACTATAAATCCTTCTTAACGTTTTAATACCGATGACTGCACGATAAAGGTGTGTTTCTGTAAAATAAACCAACAATACAATATAAAGGCTGATTTTTAACGATGAGGATTCAGTTAGATGCACTAAATCTTTGAGATTTAGGACCGTTTCAGGTCTCGTTTGCTCTCCCCTGGCTTTCAGTTACACTCAAATTATTCATGAAACAAGTAAAACGCGACACTCCCTTCATTAACTTCCTCTTATAATCAGTGTGCAGGTTTTTGTCTGCTTCGGCAAAATTTCAATAACACAGAAGCGTTTAAACGTTTGAAATCTTAAGTTATATTTCAGTTATTCATGTAAAAGTCATCAGATCTTCTGGGTCTTTAAAGTTGGCGAGAGTTTCCAGCACTAGACAAAAGAGATATTTATAAGTGTTTTATTAATTAAGAGTAGCCTTATTTTGAGTGTGTTTGTATGCATATCTTTGGTTTAGGCATGCAGCCGCGTTGGGAATTATGTGTTTAGTATTAATTTATGTGTTTAATACATTTTCAATTCATTCTGCTTCCATGTTTGGTTTTGTGACTTCAAACCATGATACTGCCACCCCTGGTTTATAAATAAGATGCGCTTCCTCTAAAGCACATCCTGAGCTCCTTCAAAGGAATCTCCTACCATCTTTATGCAGATGACATCCAACTGAACATCTCCTTTAAGCCCCATGAGATGTCTAAGCTGCAGCTGTTACACACCTGCTTAGACTCTATCAAAACCTGGATGGTGGGAGCTTTCTTCAGCTGAATGAAGATAAGACTGAGATCCTCATCTGTGCCCCAGACAAGCTGGTTCCAAAAGTCAGAGACTCTCTTGGTCAGCTTGCTTCTCACACCAAACCTTCTGTCAGGAATCTTGGTGTGACCTTTGACCCAGCTCTCACCCTGGATTCTCATGTCAGTTCTCTTGTTCGCTCTTCCTTCTTCCATCTCAGGAACGTTGCTAAGCTGAGTCCCATTCTGTCCCGCTCTGAACTTGAGACAGTTCTCCACACCTTCATCTCCTCACGCTTAGACTACTGTAACTCTCTTTTCACGTGTCTGAGCAGAACCTCCCTGAACCGTCTACAGGTGGTTCAGAATGCCTGTGCTCAGCTTCTGACCAAGTCCTCCAAACACACCCACATCACCCCGCTTCTCCTCCAGCTTCACTGGCTGCCAGTCAACTTCAGGGTTCATTTCAAGATCCTGGTTCTGGTCTATAGGGCCTTACATGGACAAGCACCATCTTACATTGGTGATCTTCTTAGTCCCTACACCCCCAGCAGGTCCCTGAGGTCCAGTGATCAAAGCCTACTGGTTGTGCAGCACCAGGCTAAAGGTCAAAGATGACAGATCATCTGCTGCTGTGGCCCCCAGATTCTGGAGCTCTCTCCCCCTGAGCCTGAGATCAGTGGACTCAGTGGTCTCCTTTAAAAAGCAGCTGAAGACTCACTTGTTCAAGCTGGCTTTTGTATGACCTTCTTCACCTCTCTCTCTTTATTCTGCTCTCCCCACCTATTCCACCTTCCTCAGGACCCACCGATTTCCCTCTTTCCTGTTCACTCTCTCTCTTTCTTTACATTTTTTATCACAATTGTCTATTTTTGCTCATTTTAAATATATTTTTAAACATTTTCTAAATGCTTTTTTATATTTTTGCACTTTTTGTTTTTGTGAAGCGCCTCGTGATTTTTATGTTGAGAGGCGCTATAGAAATTATATTTTCTTCTTCTTTTATTCTGAAATGTGGTGTTTTTTCCCTCTAAAGTGGTGGGGCGTGGGCCATTTAAAGCCCTCTGAGTGATCTTCTACAGCACAGGTGGCACCAGTGATTTCATTTGATGGTGCATTCATGGGAGAGCTTTCTTTTACTTTTTAAAAGTTTAATTCCAACTTAATCTTTCGTCAGAGTTTGATATTTTTCCTCCAAATGTGTTTCTTTAATGTCTGATTTTAGATAATACAATATGGAATTCTAAAAACTAAAAATATGAACTCAAGGGGGGGAAATCAGCTGATTTCATCAGGCTGCAGCATCAAATAAACAGTTTAATCGTGTATTAGATTTGTAGCACAGCCTCATTTCCTCCATTTAGCTTCAATTCTGTCGGCTATGACTTTGAACGGTTCCGATGTTCAGTTTGGACGCAGCGTAACAGGAAAACACCACCGAAGACACTGAATTAGTCAGGAAAAGCTTCAGCAGTAAGAAGAATGAGAAATCTGGAGGGATAAGTGGGATAAAGATCTTATGAGAAATGAAAACAGGAGTTTGTTTTACTCTATGAATAAGATGCCTCCATGTTGTTATGGTGTATGAAAATGTGGCCCTTAATGTTGCTGAATGATGGATTTTTGTGTTTTTGTTCTCTTTTGTAGATGAAATCAAGGAGGAGCTGGAAAAACAAAAGTAAGTTAAATAGATCGTGGGCTTTGATTTCTCTGCTCTGAGACACGAGGGACGCAGAAGCAGCCCATCATCGTGTTTTCTTACTAAGATGATTAACTGTTGTTATTGCTGAGACCTGTCGTCCACAGACGTGGAGTCAGACCCGTTATTATTTATTCCATACATCTGTTTTCCTTCACTTATCCGGAGTCGGGTCACGGGGGCAGCAGCCTAAGCCGAGAGGCCCAGACTTCCCTCTCCCCAGCCACTTGGGCCAGCTCCTCCGGGGGAATCCCGAGGCGTTCCCAGGCCAGCTGAGAGACGTGGTCCCTCCAGCGTGTGCTGGGTCTTCCTTTAGGTCTCCTCCCGGTTGGACGTGCCTGGAAAACCTCACCAGGGAGGCGTCCTGACAGATGCCCGAACCACCTCAACTGGCTCCTCTCAATCTTGAGGAGCAGCGGGTCTACTCCAAGCCCCTCCCGGATGACTGAGCTTCTCACCCTATCGCTAAGGGAGAGCCCAGCCACTCTTCGGAGAAAACTCATTTCGGCTACTTGTATTCGTGATCTCGTTCTTTAGGTCACTACCCAAAGCTCGTGACCATAGGTGAGGGTAGGAACGTAGATCGACCGGTAAGTCCAGAGCTTCACCTTCTGGCTCAGCTCTCTCTTCACCACGACAGACCGGTACAACGCCCGCATCACTGCAGATGTAGCACCTGTCCACCTATCGACCTCACGCTCCATCTTTCCCTCACTCGTGAACAAGACCCCGAGATACTTAAACTCCTCGACTTGGTACAGGACCTCATCCCTGACCCTTTTCTGACTCGTGACCATGGTCTCGGGTTTAGAGGAGCCGCTTCACACTCAGCTGCGAACCGCTCCAGTGAGAGCCGGAGATCATTTTTGATGAAGTTTATATTTTGACATTTTAAAACTTGTTTTCAATAGATTAATATTTACTCCAAATAGTGTTTGTTTCTGAGGTCCCCTAGAGACGGAGCCAACCTTAAACAGTTAATCTGCTGCTGAAGGCAGGAAGTCCGTTTTTAATCGATGCTAAAATACATTTACAACTTGTTCTTTTGTTGGTTGCAGCAGGAAGTCGACTGTCTGTGTTTTCTAAAGTTGGCTTAATGAAATGTGTGTTTGTTGTTCCAGGGATGGGACCGTGGTCCCACCCAGAGCCAACTACATCGAGGCTGACAAATACGTCCTGCCCTTCGAGCTGGCCTGCCAGTCAAAGTCTCCCCGGATAGTTAGCACCTCGCTGGACTGTCTGCAGGTTAATACACGTGTGCACACACACACACACACACACACACACACACACTTGGTTTGAATTCAGCTTTCATTACATATCTTCTCCCCTGCAGAGCTTCAGGTGTGTGTTTTTGAATAATGCAGCACCATTTTTTCCTCGTGCACACACTTGAGCTGTTTTAAACACACAAGCAGGACTCCCTGCGACGCCAGGATCCATCCAGATGTTTCTGTCCCGCCTCTGCTGCCCTGACCCGCGCCCTCCGTCTCTCCTCTACAGAAGCTGATAGCGTACGGCCACATCACGGGCAACGCCCCGGACGGCAAGACCCCGGGTAAAAGGCTGATCGACCGGCTGGTGGAGACCATCTGCGTCTGCTTCCAGGGCCCACAGACCGACGAAGGAGTCCAGCTACAGATCATCAAGGTGCCTCCAGTTCCTCCTTCCACCCTCCAGCTGTCATTTGGGTTTTATTTATTTACTTACTTCACATCCAGACTGTTAGATCTACCAGAGACAAACAGAAGCGTTGGCGCTTAAACGTAGCTCCTACGTTCTTCTGAGCGGATAAAACAGAATAATGTCACTAAAGTTGTCTCGTTTGAAGGAGATCGTCATTTATTTTAATGCAGGTTCTTCAAAAAGCTGCATTAAACCAATCAAAACTAAACTAAACCGCCCCGTTTTTAGTCGTTTAGGACCCAAAACCAAAGGTTCATGTGGTCTAGCCCAGGTGGGTTTAGTTACTGACACTAATTCAGCTTCCTTATTTACATCCTGGTGGGTTGGAGAGGACAGCTTCTGTTCTCTTTGTTTTAGTGCTGTTGACAGAAGATTAGAAACATCTGTTGGGATCGCGTTTCTCTGCTGAAGTCTGTTTACTTTTACCAGGAAACCGTCTCTTATTGCAAACTTCTGACAGTAGAAACTAAAGTTTTGTGTTTTAAAGCGACAGACGAGTGTGAATGTCTTCGGCCGCAGATAGAAGGAAGTGTGGTGGTGATTCAGCGGGTGCCGCAGCCGCCTGTCTTGATAAGAGCCTTAACTTCCTCCTCCGCCTGCCCAGGCCCTTCTGACGGCGGTGACCTCCCCGCACATCGAGATCCACGAGGGCACGGTGCTCCTCACCGTCCGGACCTGCTACAACATCTACCTGGCCAGCCGCAACCTCATCAACCAGACCACGGCCAAGGCCACGCTCACGCAGATGCTCAACGTCATCTTCACCCGCATGGAGAGCCAGGCGGTCAGTGTGACCACACTACTCCTCGTTTCTGCCACGAAACGTCCTGCGGTGAATCACAGAAGCTACATTTAGCTTTAACTACTGTTATCCCAACATTAGCTGTGACGTTTTATTTTGAAGGAACTAAGACGAGTTCTCAGTCAATCAGATTTTATTTATAAAGCGCTTTTCAAGCAAAGTGCTTTACAAAATGACCCCAAACTGTTTAAAAGCATTAACAGACATATGCAAACACACACACACACACACACCTGTAAAAATTTATATTCGGCTGAGTCCAGATGAGCCAAGTAAGGTAAGGCAAGGAAACGCCATCAGAGGAGCCATCTGCCCCGGCAGCATCGGGTCTCCCACACTGAGTCGGGGCGCTCAGAGGAGGGGGAACGTAGACCCCCACCTCCACTTAAACACTACCTGTAGAGCGCCCAGGAAGCAAGTCGACCGCCGCCCCCCGGGGCAGAGGGCCCCTACAGAGAAAACACCGGATTAAAATGAGTCAAAATATGAAAATATGACAAAAGTTAGAACACAAGTAATAAATAAAATCATTTAGACAGTAAAATAATAATATTAAATAATAAAATGGCTGAAAAATGTGGCTGATTGACCCATTAAAGCTTCCACACTTTATTTTATTTAGTAAAATAAAATAATTTATTTCAGTTGAAAGTTTTAAAAACACCCGACAGTAAATAGTTGCAGGAATAAACCTTTAATGTTTAAGCGCGTTACTATTAGTTATTAAAAATCACACATTGATCAAACTTAAAGATAATCTCTGAGGGATTTCGGTTTCAGACGGCCTAATCTGCTTCTTCTGTGACCTTCGCAGGCCCTGGAGGCTCAGGAGCAGGAGAAGGAGCGGCTGCGTCTCCCCCAGCAGAACCCGTCCCCGGTCCCCGGTAACCGGTCGTCCGGCTCCCCCAAATCTGACCGAACTCCTACGCCTGATCCTCAGAGCTCCCCGTCCCCCGGAGAAAGTGCCTCAGACCTCACCGTGGACTCGACGCCCCCACCGGCAGCAGCAGCAGCTCCTCACCTGGACCAGGATGCACCGGCAGTCAACGGAGAGCCTGATGGAGGTGGATCAGAGCAGCTCACACACATTTTTGGGTTCTTGCTCACACTCATTTATTTATTTTTACATCAGATTCGGTGTTTGAGGATGAAGGTATGGAGGTGCCTCCTTCAGCGGCTGACGACGAGAACAAACCAGAGATCAGCTCAACGGGACCCGTGGTGGCAGACGGAGAACGTCCAGCTGAAACAGGTTTGTTCTGGTTCCTGCCCGTTTGCTTCTCCTGTCTTTGGGTTGGACTGATCCAGCCTGGTTCCAGGTGGTGAAGGTCCAGTTCCTGTAGTTCCTGAGCAGATGGACGCCGTTCCCCCCAGAGCTAGGACGGAAACTCCGCAGATGAACGGCGTCATCGAGGACCACTCCTCTGTCTCCTCCACAGACCTTCTGGTGAGAACGTTTTCATTCTGCTGCCGTAGTTAAATAAAGAGTCGGGAGCTTTTTCTGTCCTTAAGTTTTAACCTGGAGCTTTTTAGCAGATGTCTGCTGAAGGCCACGGAGCTGAAACGTTTCAGGAACTTTAGAGACGGTCGGTGGAAACGTAACAAGTCCGCCTTACCCAGAGGTTCATGTGTGTTTATAGAGATCAGCTCTGGGGTTTTGGGTTAGACGTTAGTCCCAGTAACGTCAAATCAAGCATCTGTAGTTGCTTTTGTCTGTATTTAGAAATAAGATTATTTTGGGTTTTTTGTGTCTCCGTGTGTTTCAGGATGCCGAGTCTCTGCAGGGACCCCACAGCGCGGCTCGGTTCTCTCACATCCTGCAGAAAGACGCCTTCCTGGTGTTCCGCTCTTTGTGCAAACTTTCTATGAAACCTCTCGCTGATGGACCTCCAGACCCAAAGTGAGTCACAGCTTTAGCTTTAACCCCCTGGTGGAGCAGCGGCACGTCTCTGCATCAAATAGTCGTTGGGTTGATTCCCGACGGCTGCGCCTCGGAACGTTTCAGGCGTGTCCCAGAAGCGTCTCGCCTCGCCGGTAAAGATGGGATGGGGTTCTTTTTTTTGGCCGTGTCACGCTTTGGGGATGCTTCGAGCTCAGAGGTTGTCTTGGGTCCCAAACACTTCAAGGGCCCCGCGACTATTAAGAAAGATGTTTAAGATATTTTCTCCTTCAAAATAAATGAACCCTCATTCCAAAAGAAGCAGGAAGAGAATAAAAAGTTTGCCAAAGTTTACGGATTTCTTAACGGTGAAGAGAAGTCGCTTCTTGTTCAGGACGCAGAGGACCCCGTGCCCACGTTTGCCTTGGGCCCCAAAACTGCTGGGTCCGCCACTGGTTAACTAGACAGGAAATCACACATGGTATCAGTGTAAAGCCCTGGTAAATTTCAAAATAAAAGACTGACGGTTATACTAGCAGGCTTATCTGCTTCCTGCGTTAACGAGATGTTTATCCTGGTAGAGGAGAATCACAACATTATAAATGAAAAGACGCCAAACTGGAGAAGGCGCGGACAAAAACATCAGCAACTATGTGGATGGAGGGTGAGTTTAAAAGCGTATCGCGTACACGGGCCGCGGCTAAGCCGCGCCACGTCTGACGCGCTCCCGCTGTGGATTTGGCATTCAGCGGCAGCTAATTAGCCCAATTCAAGATGGCTGTGTAATGGTTTAATTTACATGTTATTTAATAAGCCATAAGACATAATATTGCATAGTAAATATGAAATAAACCTTATGGATCTGTGGGTACTGTTTAACCAGAAGATTGGAACTTTTTGTAACGTGATGAAGGAGCTGTTCCAACCAAGATTATTTAATCTTTTCCACAGTCCCTTTGACGCAGTGCCAGAGTGCGTGAAACAGCCTCAAGGTCATGCATTCACTTCTAAACTGTTTACTTTCCAGCGATGAAGACAGAAGATTTTTATTAAAAAACCAAAGAACTCTATTTTCAATAAAAGCTAATCAAAACAACTGTTAGTCAATAATAACATGTGATCGATCTGTGAAATCACAATATTATGATATGTTTTAATAAGTAAATGGCTTATTCTAGCCACTAGTCACACTGATACACTAAGGTAAATAATCACATGACACATTCCTGTCGCAAATCCAATCAGAACCTTCACGTCTGAAGCGTGGCAGAGTCTCTGTGGTGTTTATTTATTCTGTCAGCTGTGATTCGTCCAGAATCATAAACATCAAGATTAATAAAACAGTCCAACGCCATTTTAAGTCCAGTATTCAACGAGATCTCAAGATCCCCTGAAGTTCACCGCATGCTGAGTGAAGTATGGACCGGCCATCTGTACTTCCCTTTTTAAGCTAGAACTGCCAAGCTGGGAAATCCTGTCGTTGTTATCAACAAAACAACGGTTCTTCAGAATAAAAGCTGAACTCGCTGACCCAAAGGAGGGTCCACTTTGACGCTGTGAAACACCTGTCGCTTTTTACCTGGAGACTATCCAAAAACTGGTTTGTCGTGCTGTCGACGCTGTTTCATTGGCTCCAGTACCAGAGGAGGGTCCGTGGACCTGGCATCCTGATCTGTACGGGTGTCTCACTGAAGGGTATGTGGATGCGACAAATGGCGTCTCATGTGTTTATGACCACGGTTCAAACGTTGATCAGTTAGGAGCAAAACATCATCTCCCACTCAGACTCGCTTCTCCAGAACGGAGGTTCTGAACTGACATCACACCAACACACACTTCACCTCACATTCCACTCCACGAGCATCCATCATTAGAGAGTTAGTTCTGTTAAACTGTTTAAAATCATTTAGATAATAAATGTTCTTAAACGTTTGAAGGTCTCTCTTCTCTTGTCTCAGTACATGCAAAGTGTTTGATTTCCCTGTAATAAAAAGAACCACTCTTCTGATTTAAATAGCCCAGTGTCCATTACAGGGTATCCGCGGGTCCTTAAAAAGTCTTAAATTTGCTTTTCCAAATTTAAGGCCTTGAAAATCCTTAAAAATGACAAATAATCCTTAAATCCAGTTTCCAAAGGTCTTAAATTACCAAAGACCCAATAAACAAGATTATTTTATTTCTATAAAAATGTTCGTGAATTTCTAGTTGGTGTTCAGCATTTTTTGTGTACGATGTTGGCGTAAGCGGAACCGTACACATTCAGCTGGTTGTGAAAGGGGGCTGTTTTTAGATGAGCACATTAGCTGGTTAAGCTAGTGGGAGCTTGCGCCATGGGGAAGTGCAAGTTTAATGGTAACTGGATGGTTAATCCCACGTTCGCGACGTGGTTAGCGCCGGTTCCAGGCAATAGCTGGAAATTATAGCTTAAATTTGATTTTGAAAATAGCTTAAATTTGGTCAAAGTGTCCTTAAAAAAGGTCTTAAAAAGTCTTAAATTTGGCTCCCTTAAACCTGCAGATACCCTGCATTAGATGGGGTCCATACTAGATATGGATCTTTAATGTCTATGGTCATTAATTAAATTGTAACTCTTTAACGCTACATTTTTATTGCAGAGATTAGTTAACAGCTTCGTATTCACTCAGAGACAACAGAAGAGAGAGTTAGGTTTAAAGGTTTAAAGATTTATTACTAAACAAATTAAGCTAGACTAACTTAAACACTACATGTATGGTGTAACTAAGGTGAATGAGACGGAGAATGGTGTGATGTGGAATGTTGCTCAGAACCAGCAAATCCGAAGAAACGATTAGTTCTGATGGGAATTGAAGGTGATGTCTTTGCTCTAAGCTTTGGTTAGGAGATTCATAAACACATTTATTTGTCGGTCTACATACCCTTAGTGGAAGTCCCTGTTAGATCAGGAATGTCGAGGTCCAGCTTGACCTTTTCTGGAACCGAAGCCGGTAGGAAAAGCAGCGGTTGCCGACCAGACCAGTCTTTGAGATCCTTCCGGGTCACGATGGTTTTGTTGGCATCTAACAAGACCCAAAACGGGGTCGTGATGGTTCAGCTTTTATTCTGAAAGGAACCGTTGCAGCAGGTGGAACAGCAACAGATTTTATCCAGCTTGTCGTTGGTTCTTTCGGCTGAAGAGGAAAGTTACGGATTGGCCACTCCGACAACTTCTCTAGAACGCTTTGAACTGGCGTTAAAGATGGCGTGGGCATAGTTTTATACTTCGGATGTTTTGGTTTGTGGTCGAATGAAAAGATGACAGATTTACCAAACACCAGCAAAACCACGCCTCCGTCAGATCTGGCAGATTCTGATTGGATCAGTAAAGCAATGTGTCATGTCTTAATGCTACGTGAGATCAGTCCTAGTGGAAACATTTAAAGTCATATTACTTATTATATTCTGTAGGATTATAATAAAGTTATTAATATTTTCATTTCGCAGATTGGTCACATCTTATTATTGACCAACACTTTGTTTGATTAGCTTTATTAAAATAGAGTTCTTTGATTTATTAAAAGGAGAGAGTCCATTCTTCATTCTTCTGTTGAGCTGGAAAGAAGCAGTTTATAGCAAATGCATGAGACCTTGAGGCCACATCTCATGCTGACTAGTTCTGTGTCAGAGGAGAGGGGGAAACCGTCATTTCATTCTGTTACAGCTGCTATAGCTACGCGACCTCAGCAAACCCCACAAGGTCTAAGTCGTTTGCAGAGATTGTGAGCCACCATTTGGTGTTTTTAGATGCTGTAAATCGTTCACCAGACATACTCCGATAACAGGTCTAAGACAGAAGAAAGAAGCGCCTCTCAAGGCGCTTCACAAGAACAATAAATTAAGAATAAAGACAAAAAAGAAGATGTCAGAGCCATAAAACTCTTGAATTAACCAACTCCAGCTTCTTTATTTCCCGGCTCTGGCGTTAGAGGTGGTTGGACATTAATACTCTTATTACATCATGTTGTTAAAATCAAGTTTTGAAAACCTTTCCTGTAAAATTCCGAGTTAAAAATGTGCATTAGCTCACTTTTATTATCATTTCCTGTTTGATTTGACATCTGTTGATGGTTCCTCGGCTGCCTTTGGCTCCACACAGAGCTTCGTGAGGTCAGCTTGGCCTTTTCCGGCCAGGTGTGACGCTCCTCTCTGGTTACTGTAACTTTAGACTCCGGACCTGTCCGTGTAAGTGGGTCAGAGTGAAACGAGCCCATCGCAGCCCGGTCGTAGCTCTAGAGGTTTTCCGTTGAGATGTGTGCTTTTTTTTTCCTGTGGAGATGAGAAGTTCTTCTCCCCTGCAGGTCCCACGAGTTGCGCTCTAAGATCGTCTCCCTGCAGCTGCTGCTCTCCGTGCTGCAGGGCGCCGGGCCGGTGTTTCGCACCCACGAGATGTTTGTGAACGCCATCAAGCAGTATCTGTGCGTAGCTTTGTCCAAAAATGGCGTCTCCTCTGTGCCTGAGGTGTTTGAGCTCTCTCTGGCCATCTTCCTGACGCTCCTCTCCCACTTCAAAGTCCACCTGAAGATGCAGATCGAGGTAAAAGCAGAAGACGGACCGATCCTGTTCCCGTGGGACACCCGTGGTTTAAAAAAGACCATGTTCTCCTTGCTGCAGGTGTTTTTTCGGGAGATTTTTTTGACCATCTTGGAGACGTCGACCAGCTCCTTTGAACACAAGTGGATGGTCATCCAGGCACTGACGCGCATCTGCGCAGGTAAAGTAGGCAGCTGGACTGGACCTGGAGTTCTGGGAGAGAGGTCAGGTGGTTTCAGTGTTTTGGTTCCTCCCCCAGATGCCCAGTGCGTGGTTGACATCTACGTCAACTACGACTGCGATTTAAATGCTGCCAACATATTTGAGCGTCTCGTCAACGATTTGTCCAAAATCGCCCAGGGAAGGAGTGGTCAGGAGCTCGGGATGACGCCTCTGCAGGTCGTAGCAGCTCCTCGTAGCTCTGTATTTACAGCCCGTCTGTAAAAAACACATTTCTGTAACTCCTGCAGGAGCTGAGCCTACGCAAAAAGGGTTTGGAGTGCTTGGTGTCCATCCTCAAATGCATGGTGGAGTGGAGCAAAGACATGTACGTGAATCCTAACCTTCAAGCTAACCTGGGTAAGTGGGATGCACCGAGAGCAGAGAAGTGGAGCTCTGAATGTTTCGTTACGGCGTCTTTCATCTGTCTTCAGGTCAGGAACATCCATCCGACTGCGAGGGAGGAGAGCTGAAGCTCCCGGAGCAGACGGCGGGGCGTCGAGACAGCATCAGCTCGCTGGACTCCTCCTACTCCAGCGTCCCCGTGTCCCAGGCAGATCACCCTGAGCAGTACGAGGTTATCAAACAACAGAAGGAGATCATCGAGCACGGCATCGAACTGTGAGCTCCGCCTCCCAGCTCGGCTGGAGATCCACAGTGGTGTTAACTGTGGTCTATATGAAACATCTGTGTTCTTGTGTGGAGGAGGTCGTTTACGCTTCAGTCCATCTGTTGTCTCTGCAGCTTCAACAAGAAGCCTAAGCGTGGTGTCCAGTACCTGCAGGACCAGGGCATGCTGGGATCCACAGCTGAGGACATCGCCCAGTTCTTACACCAGGAGGACCGACTGGACACAGTGAGACCTTCAGAAACGCAGTTTATGTTGTTGTGAACCCTGTTAACGTGTGTGTGTGTGTGTGTGTGTGTGTGTGTGTGTGTGTGTGTGTGTGTGTGTGTGTGTGTGTGTGTGTGTGTGTGTGTGTGTGTGTGTGTGTGTGTGTGTGTGTGTGTGTGTGTGTGTGTGTGTGTGTGTGTGTGTGTGTGCGCGCGCAGACACAGGTGGGGGAGTTCCTCGGTGAGAATAACAAGTTCAACAAAGAGGTGATGTACTGCTACGTGGACCAGCTGGACTTCTGTGGTCGGGACTTTGTCTCTGCTCTGAGGACGTTCCTGGAGGGCTTCAGGCTGCCGGGGGAGGCCCAGAAGATCGACCGGCTTATGGAGAAGTTTGCTGCTCGGTACCTGGAGTGTAACCAGGGGTAAGAGGGCCCTCTGTCCAGCTGCGTGTGTTTTCAGTGGGACTGGATGCTGACGTCCTCCTCTTCTGCAGACAGACCTCGTTTGCGAGTGCGGACACCGCCTACGTGTTGGCGTACTCCATCATCATGCTCACCACCGACCTGCACAGTCCTCAGGTACAGACCGTTTGGACCATTTTCTCAGGGTTACTTTAGAAAACATCCTAGGAATAATCTGCTTTTTATTATTTAGTGGAGGACTGATCCAAGTTTTTAACCCCATCAGATAAAAAGGATTTAGTGAAATCTGAACACTGAGCTCAGACTACAGCTGATACACTTCCTAGTTAGTAGCTTCCTGTTACTAACAGAAGAAGCCAAACCGTGGAAAAACAGCTGTGGAATATCCGTGTCATGGAGAGGCATTAAGGGATGGATGCTAATAAATCAGAGCAGAAATGAGTTGTATTGTTTTGTAAATGGATCGATGTTTCTGTACTTGTGCACTTGTTCCCTAGCCCTGGTGCTCTAGGACAGCCGAACCAGAAGAACCTATGAAAAGATTTTTCCTTTTAAGGAAAGTTTTGGGCTTCTTGGCTCATTCTTAAACCGTTTTTCCATCTGTAACCCTAATCTGAGGAACTGTGTTAGTTTTTCTGTTTCTAAAGGTAAACAAATAAATAAACACCAATTCAGCATAATCGTCTTAGCTGGGGATCGATCAAAAACTCAAAAATCTAAACTTATTGTCGGTGTGCCGCTGGAATACACAATTATATATATATATATATATAGATAGATAGATAGATAGATATAGATATATGTATATATATCAATAAATTATGTACTTTTTAACAACAAATGTATTTTAAAGCGACAAAATAAAGACAGAAATGCTTTTAATAAAGAAATAAATTTTTTAAGCAAAAGAAATCTAAAAAAAAATGCTAATGTCAATCCTCACTGAATCCCTGTTCCCCGATCTTCCTTATGGATGTTTTTGCTTTCAAAATCATAATTTTAAGCTTAATCTGACATGTAAACAAAAATAAAGTTGTTCTATTATTCTAATTATATGAGAAATCTGCCAAAAATCTGTACCTGCAGGTCAGAGCTGTACAAGAACTGGAAATAGGTATCAGCTCACAAAACCAACATCGGTGCATCACAGTAGATATCTCAGGTGTAGCTGTGTTGCTCTTGGACCTTTACCCCACATTAAAGGACTTGTTGATGACGTTTGTGTTTTTAATGCACGCAGGTGAAAAACAAAATGACCAAGGAGCAGTACATCAAGATGAACCGCGGTATCAACGACAGCAAAGACCTTCCCGAGGAGTACCTCTCTTCCATATACGATGAGATCGCAGGGAAGAAGATCGCCATGAAGGAGAGCAAAGAGTTTTCCATCACTCCAAAGTCCACCAAGCAGAGTGAGTTCCCGCCTCAAATGATGTCATCCTAAAAAGAGGAAGTCCTGCTGTTACTCACAAAGCGTGCTCCTGCAGGCGTGGCCAGCGAGAAGCAGCGCCGCCTGCTCTACAACATGGAGATGGAGCAGATGGCGAAAACCGCTAAAGCTCTAATGGAGGCCGTGAGCCACGCTCAGGCGCCGTTCTTCAGCGCCACACATCTGGAGCACGTCAGACCCATGTTCAAGGTAATGTTAAGGGTGACGTGGGAATTAGTTTTATAATTCAGATGTTTTGATTTATGCTCGAATCAGACTTGGACACAAATATAAACACCTCACAGACCACGCCACGCGTCAGAAAGGAAAGCTCTGATTGGAGAGACAAAGGAATGTGCCGTGTGATTTTTAACATTGTGTGATCAGTCTAGTGTGTAGTTTAAAGTTATATTACTTATTAAAATACTTTCATAGGATTATAATATCAAGTAATTAATATTGTCATTTCAGATTGATTTAACATTGAGCTTTACATGATTATTTGGACTAACAAAGTTATTTGATTATTATTTAAGAGTTCTTCTGATCTTCTCTTGAGCTGTAGGGGGAGGCAAATAGCTAAGTTAAAACAGTTTAGATGCAGAGGCATCAAAGGCCTTGAGCAATATCTCAGGGAGATTAGTTCTTCCTGAGTAGAAAGGACCTTTAGGTGGAAAACAGTCCCTTCATGACGCTACATTAGCTTCCCCGTTCCATTGTGTGCTTTCACCGTGGCGCTGCGCTCAGTTTCAATCAGGCTGTGCAGCAGGATTTCCCCTCGTAGCGATATTTTCCATAAATCTGATTGCTTCATGCTATAGATTGTTGGAAAGCTGCTTTTATGTAATTTTAGGAACCGTTGGAATTTTTTGAATCTGATCAGCCATTCAAAAGTTATAAAACGGAGCATTTTGGATGACAAGCTCAGCACGTCTCTGAATCTGTGTTGTGATTCGTTGAGCTAAAGACAGGGAAACCCGTTGGCTATCGTAATGTCTTGTATATGCACAAAAAGCCCCATTTTTAATCTTTTCAACACTTTTGGAAATTTAATGATGTCTTGAACGGTTCAGGAATGATGGTAATGGGAAGTGCGTATGTCCAATCCCGTCTGCGGCGACAGGTTGGTAATAAGAGGGTTAAATATTTCCCTTTTAAAGGGAGTGTAATTTTCAGCACACAAAGTTCTTTACAATAAAACACAAAAATTGTACCAATATCCCAAAACAGCTCAGATTGTCTGATTTCTGTGTTTTCCAGCTGGCATGGACCCCGCTGCTTGCTGCCTTCAGCGTGGGTCTGCAGGACTGCGATGACCCAGATGTGGCCTCGCTGTGTCTGGAAGGCATTCGATGTGCCATCAGAATCGCCTGCATCTTCAGCATGCAGGTCTGGTGACAACTGTGCAACTTCTGAAGTGTCCAGACGACTCCCCGAGGAGGAAGTTGACCTTTTCCTTCTTGCCGTTCTAACCGTTAACCTTACAGCTGGAGAGAGACGCATACGTTCAAGCCTTGGCCAGGTTCACGCTGCTGACGGCCAGTTCCAGCATCACAGAGATGAAGCAGAAGAACATCGACACCATCAAGACCCTGATCACCGTGGCCCACACAGATGGGAACTACCTGGGCAACTCCTGGCATGAGGTGTAAAAGGGTTTTTCAGCTTCTAGACGTATTTTTGATTCAAAATGTTTGTACTGATAGGTAATCATCTCTGCGTTGTAGATCCTGAGGTGTATTAGTCAGCTGGAACTTGCCCAGCTGATCGGTACAGGGGTGAAGACACGCTACATCTCCGGGGTTGTTCGGGACAGGGAGGCCAGTATCAGGGGTTTACCTCCTGGTACCGAGGAGTTCATGCCTCTAGGTCTGGGTACGTTACCCCCATACTTAACCCCACTGCGCAACACTGCCACCTGTTCAGTTTCAACATCTAGCACTTGAGTAGCTCCGAAGGTTTTGGTGAAAAATACAGCAAAATATCATCTTCATGAAAGCGATAGGAGATCTGAGGAAATGTTTTAAAATGCCTGAAAAGATAAGTTGGTGAACCCAAAGCAGAGCCTTGTGGTACCCCTCAAGCTAAACCTTAAAAATGTTCCAAATATCCACGCTTAATCGTCTGTTAACGTGCTGCAGAAAGGTTCAACATGTTCTTGCCATTGCAGGAAACCTGGTTGGGAGTCAGGACAAGAGACAGATGGCTCACATTCAGGAGTCAGTTGGAGAAACCAGCTCTCAGAGTGTGGTGGTGGCTGTAGATAGGTGGGGCAGATCCCTTTGTAGAAGTATCACTAAAAATGTGAATAGTAGCAGAAAATCGTCTTTGGCTTCAACTCCTGAAAGTGTCTTTTGTGTTTGCAGGATCTTCACAGGCTCCACCAGACTAGACGGAAACGCCATTGGTCCGTTTACCCCACGCCGTCTACAGCAGGGAGTTGTTTGAGGATTTGTTCATAAACACGTTTGTTTTATTTGTAGTGGACTTTGTTCGGTGGTTATGCGCCGTGTCCATGGACGAGCTGGCCTCGGCGCACCAGCCCAGGATGTTCAGCCTGCAGAAGATCGTGGAGATATCGTACTACAACATGAACCGCATCAGGCTGCAGTGGTCTCGAATATGGCAGGTTATAGGAGATCACTTCAACAAGGTCAGAAACTCTTTTTCATTGTAACGGACTCATTTAGAGGCTTTCAGCTGGTCCAACACGTCTGCTGTTATTTTAGGTGTTTTCATTCTAAACGTGCAGGTGTCATGGCGGTGGTTCAAGAGGTGCTTTACCAAAAAAGACGTCAAAGTCGTGGTCATTTGTACTTGTTCGCTGGTTCTTAACTCATTCACTGCCAGCGTTTCTCACCGTTTTTACTGTTTTTTTAAGAGTGGCAGAACGTTGCGCGCTAGGATGATGTCAACAACAAAACAACCAAAACTTACCGGAGACTCGCCTCTTACATCAGGAAGAATCCGCGCGTTTCGAGCGTTATCCGTTCTTCCATAATCCGTTGTTGAATTGTGATCGGCAGAAGATTTTCCGGTTCGCGCCTCACTTTTTTTACAGCAGCGGCCCATAACGATCTCCTAACACATGGATGTTCTGCTTCCTGATCACGTGACGTGTGACGTACACGGATGAAGATCGGCTTTAGAGCTGAGATGTTTGTTCTCACGGTGCGGGGGCTCGTCCGACGCCCGCACAGTAAAAACATGCTAATGATTACTTTAGTCGTCATTGGCAGTGAACGAGTCAAAAATAGAAAAATGCACGCTCAGATGATGAGCAGCATGACCCGTTGACCTTTGTCTTCATGTTTTTAACAAAAACTCAGCCAAAGTACTGAAAAGCTAGGTCCAGCTGATGATTCATCTCCCGGGTGACCTCATCGGCCTGTCACGTGGTTGTCGAGGACTTCTGTTCCACCATTCTCTACATGAGTGACTTTTTTTAAACATCCTCACAGCTGGTGTGAGTTCTGACTTTTGACCTGGTCGTTGCAGGTTTGTTCTTAGCTTCCTGTCTAGTGATGCACCGATGTGACATTTTTTGGGCCGATATCGATATCCGATATTGATATCACTGTTATGGCCGATAACAGATATTTGCCCATACCGATATACTGACATTAATACTTCTAAAACCAGCTGATTTTGTATAAAATTAAAATGATTAAAGCTGAATTTACTGTATTAAGTACACGCACCACACACATTTACACTCCTGAGTTCACATGACTAAACACAGAAACAAATGGAGGAAAATATCGGTTGTTGATATCGGCCCAGTTTTATTTATTGGACCGATACCGTAACGTCCAGCGATGGTCAGTTTCAGGTACAGTTTGACCTTTCAACATCTATTCAACATCTGGTATAACAGGAGACACAAGACTAAATGAGCCCGCCTTCATACCAGCTGGAGCTCACAGACTCTGCAGCTCTGACAACAGATAACGACACGTCAACAATAACCTTCTTCCCCAAGGCCTCCACATGAGGAGCACTCCAGCTCGGATCAGTTGCTAAATTCAAGAATGATTTCCTAAATCAATAGGAACTTCTTCCATGGCTTATACTATAGATAATCATAAAATAAACGTTTGATTATGGCTACTTATAACAATTATATTATAATGAAATGCCTCATTAATCTGTGCTCCATGATTGAAGTTTGAAATGAATGTTGCGTCTACAATGACTGCAATGTGGTTCCGCGTGTTTTGTGGTGAGGTCGTAACATCTGCACTCGCACCATAACAAGTAAGGTTACGTTAAACTCTGACACATAAATGCTCTTTTACCCAGTCAGAACCGACCAGATCCGGTGAAAGGAGGCTTGTTTCTGAGTTGTCAGAGCTGCAGAGTCTGTGAGCTCCAGCTGGTATGAAGAAAATGATCAACACCAGCCGATACCAACATTAATGCCGATATATTGTCCATCCCTGTTCCTGTCAGTAGCTTCATTTGGCCCGAGCTCCACCTTCTGACACTATTCATCTGTTTATGACGTTTGGTGGTCCAGCTGCTTTTGACTGAAGGCGTGCGCCGGGGGGGGGGGGGTAATGGTGGTAACCATAGTAACGGTGGAGTGTGAGTAATGGCGTGTGGACCGGTTGTAGGTGGGCTGCAACTCTAACGAGGACGTCGCCATCTTTGCCGTGGACTCGCTGAGGCAGCTTTCCATGAAGTTTTTGGAGAAAGGAGAACTGGCCAACTTCCGCTTCCAGAAGGACTTCCTCCGGCCTTTCGAGCACATCATGAAGAAGAACAGGTAACAGCGAATCAACCATTAAAAACGTTAGCTTTGTGGTGGTCTTCCAGCTTTTAAATCGGCGACATTCTTATCGCTGCCACCGAAAGTCTAGAAACGTTTTTGCTTCTTTGTTTGCAAAACATCTCAACGACCACTGGATGGACTTCAATGAGACTTCAGGTGTTCGGTGGATCTACGAGTCATTCGCCTTGGCCGGCAGCTCGATTAAAGATGGCTGCCACAGCACAACACAGAAATGGCTCCAACTCCTTTTATCCTGGTTTCCTGTCGACTGTAAAAGTCCTGATCTGCTTCCTCAGGTCCCCCACCATCAGAGACATGGTGATCAGGTGTGTGGCTCAGATGGTCAACTCCCAGGCGGCCAACATCCGTTCTGGTTGGAAGAACATCTTCTCCGTGTTTCATCAAGCTGCCGCCGACCACGATGAGACTATAGTGGAGCTGGCGTTCCAGACGACCGGGCACATCGTCGGTGAGCAGCGGTAGCACCTGGAGGTGCTCTGGGTCTTGTGTGGAGAAGACGGAAGTCTCGCATTTTAACTCGTTTCTTTCCTGCTCTTCTTTAGTGAACACGTTCAAGGAGCACTTTGCAGCTGCCATCGACTCGTTTCAGGATGCCGTGAAGTGTTTGTCAGAGTTTGTGTGCAACGCGGCGTTTCCTGACACCAGCATGGAGGCCATCAGACTCATCCGGCACTGTGCTAAATACGTCTCCGAGCGGCCGCAGGTTATTTCTGTTGTCTGGTTCATTCGTCCCGCTCCTCGTTTCTTTGATTTCATGACCAAGATGTGCGTTTGTGTTCCTGACCAGGCCCTGAGGGAGTACACCAGCGATGACATGAATGTCGCCCCTGGCGATCGGGTCTGGGTCCGCGGCTGGTTCCCCATCCTGTTCGAGCTCTCGTGCATCATCAACCGATGCAAGCTCGATGTTCGGACCAGGTAGCACATCGGATCGGGTTTCCTTGTTTAGCTGTTAAGGCAAACATTTATTTAAACTAAACACGGAGATGCGATTCACACCTTTAGAGTCGGTTCAACGGGTGCTTGAAATCCTTGAACGTGCTTGAATGTTTACCAGGTTTTGAAATTGCACAATCAACCTAATCAGTAACCGGTCTGAGATTTAAACGGTAAATTTTTTAGACTGTGAATGCATCATTTCCAAGCAGCAATATAAAAAGTGGCCATTTTTTTCTGCTGGTGAACTCACCAGAGCTAAATCGTCCCAAAATACACCAAAATCAGTCCGAGCGGCACAAGAACCCGTATCGGCCCTCAGAACCAGTCGGTGCCTCTCCATTTGAAACGCTTAACCAAAGAAAATTGGTTTTGGAACAATAAAAAATGGTCTGTATTTGATATAGCGCCTTCTAGAGTCCTGGAACCCCCCAAGGCGCTTTACAACACAATCAGTCATTCATCCATTCACACACTGGTGGGGATGAGCTACCATGTAGCCACAGCTGCCCTGGGGCACACTGACAGAGGCGAGGCTGCCGAGCACTGGCGCCACCGGTCCCTCCGACCACCACCAGCAGGCAACGTGGGTTAAGTGTCTTGCCCAAGGGCACAGCGACAGACTGAGCGGGGCTCGAACCTGCAACCTTCCGATTACGGGGCGAGCTCTTAGCTCCTGTGCCGCCGTCGCCCATACATAACATTTCCTCTCATACGTTTTTATTAGTTTGTTGGTGTTTTTTAAACCATCTCCAGGGCTCGTGTTAAAGACACGAGAAATCAGAGAAGATTCACTTCTCACGAGTCCGCCGGAAATCATGTTTGTTTTTATTCACAGACCTTTTAAAAGTTGTCAGAACTCTCAAACAGCCAATAGTTTTTATTAAAATCTCTTTTGTTTAGCCTGAAAACCTTAAAAATGCTTGATTTTTTTGTATTTAAAGTAGCTTAAGAGACCTGGAACTTGAATGGTGAGAAGCCGACTCCCGGTTGAAGATGAAACTCTTGCAGCTTTTAGAAACACGACTTTCCCGCGTCTCAGTGTGAGACGACGCCGTTTGTTTATTTAGGTTCTTTTTTATTCATATTTTCAAAGCATAAGAAATGTAAATGAATGTTTATTGATACATTTTAAGTATTTAGTTTGCATTTTGTTCCTATCAACAAACATCAGAAGAAATAATATTGTCTTGCTCATCATCTCCGGTTCTTTTAAAGCCCCTGAAAACGTTTGAAGGTTCATCTAGATGACACAAGAACAGATTTCAGAGGCGTTTGCGTTTATTATCTTTTGTCACCAAAACTGATGCCTTATAATATAATTTCTGCTTCAGAGGTCTAACTGTGATGTTTGAGATCATGAAAAGTTACGGCCACACCTTTGAGAAGCACTGGTGGCACGACCTCTTCAGAATCGTCTTTCGCATCTTCGACAACATGAAGCTCCCGGAACAGCAGACCGAGGTCAGACTTCTGGTATAAGGAGAGGATGGTAACAGAAATGTGCTGATGTTTGACGCCTCGTTTGCCTCCAGAAAACCGAGTGGATGACGACGACGTGTAACCACGCCCTGTACGCCATCTGCGACGTGTTCACGCAGTTTTACGAGCCGCTCAGCGAGATCCTGCTGGAGGACATTTTTACTCAGCTGCAGTGGTGCGTCAAGCAAGGTGAGACTCCTTACCGAAACATCTGGAGATCTTGAGTCTGTGACTGAACATAATTAGTGCGTCCTAAAATAAACCCCTAATCTTTACCCCTTTAAAGCGTGAAATACAGATAAATAATAAAAATCTAGTTTTTAGCCTGATGTCAGTAAAACCGCTTTGAAATAACCAGTTTTATTTTATTATGTTATTAAATAAGTTTAAAGAGCAAGTCACCCCCAAATCAACTTTTTTTGTGATAAACTACATAAACGCGTGTCTAATCGTGCTGCAGACACGTGTCGTCAGTAGTTTTGCACTTCAGTGGATTTTAGTTAAAATTGTAATTTTCTGCCTGAAACTGTCAGTGTTGTGCCGTTGTCAGGTAAAAACTCTTCACTGCATTTGAATTTAAATCTGTCACCGCTATTGGCTAAGAGGTGTGCTATGAGGTAAACTGGTACATTGTGATGTCACAATGTCGTGTGTCTGTGTATTTGTTAGTGGCTCCGCCCTCTCGGTCTGCTAGGCAACAGCATTTGTTGCATTTTTCAAACATGAAGTGGTAGTGAAGCACGCTTCTTGTAAGGGGTGACTTGCTCTTTAACAGTAATAAAAAATAAAATTGGCGCTTCCCTCCTGTAGCTCCTCCACCAGGGGGCAGTAGACTGGATGCGATGCTCCATCTGGAGGCTGTAAGGCCAGAGGTTCTAGAATTCTTTACATCTTGAATTTCATACTTAAAAAATGGATTAAACCTCTTGGGCAAGAGTGTGTTTTAATTATTTCAGTGAGGAAAAATTACCCTTTCATGTGCCTGAAGGGGGCGGGGCTTACAGAAGTGCGCCTTTGTTTTTGGCTTCAGCTTCCAACATCCAGTTGGAAGTCTAGAAAATTCAGGGTTCTTCCAGGTGCTTGAAATCTTTGACAACGCTTGAATCCAGTCGTGTCCAATGAGAATCATCAGTGAAATGATCGTTTTGAGCTTACTGGAGAAACCTTTCTCTTTATTCTGATTTTAATTTAAGAAGCAAAAACAAGAAAATCCACGTTATGTTATTTCAGATTTTTACGTTGGCTGTTGTAGTTGGTCCCTGTGTTGTGTCGCCACAGGGAGGCGCTAGGAAATCGGGATTCGTTCACCTTGAAAGGGCCTGAATTTGAGTTTGGCTGAATGGAATGGTTGGGGTGAATCTCTGCTACGTTTACACTAAATGTTAGCTCAATATCTGTTAAACAGGCTGAGCTGTTGACATTTTGTGTTTGCTAATGCTAGTTAGCGGTAGCAGCCATCTTGAGCAGAGTTAAAATGAGACTTGGGCCCAATCGCAGTCCTCGCACTGCGCCCTGCGGTCTTCAGACCGGGAGCATCGCGTAAGCACAGCAACACATGCTGGTCGCTGTGGTACTTTTTTTTAAGCCTTTATTAACAGCTTTCAAACAAACAATTATTTGAGAAAAACTTATATTCACTGCTGCTTTGTCTAAAAGTTTCAGAGCATCAGCTGATCGTCCTAAAATGAACGACTTCCATTAGAAAATGCATATTTTCAGAAGAGGCGCTTGAGCCTTCTAGGGTTGGGCATCGTTTGATTTTGAACGATTCCGATTCCAATTCCTCGTTTCGATTCTGGTTCCGATCAATTCCCGATACTGATTCTTTCAAGACGTAACATGTTTTACATGAGCCAGCTAACCACAGGTCCTACTTGATGAAATAATCTGAACGTCAACATGAATTTTATTCTGTGTACAACAGCTGGTGTGTTCAGCTCTGAAAAGCATCGATCACAATTTGCAGATCACGTTTAGCTTTCACGGAGATCGGCTGCGGATTGCTCTTCCGTCGGCATTCGAGGAATCGAAGTAAAAAAACTTTGAACGATTCTGGGAAAAATGAACAGTTGGAACCGGTTCCAATCGATGCTCGATGCCCAACCCTACGAGTCCTCACCCAAGTACGCATCAAGGGTGCAAAAGGGCCGTGGTCAACGTCTGCACTCGAGAGTCAGGACACCCGGATGAGCACACGTCGGGATCTCTCGTAGAGAACTCAGAAGTTTCTCGTCTCCCGACTGCAGATAACGAGCAGCTGGCCCGGTCGGGAACTAACTGTCTGGAGAACCTGGTGATCCTGAACGGGGAGAAGTTCAGCCCAGAAGTCTGGAACGTCACCTGCTCGTGCATGCTGGAGATTTTCCAAAACACCAGCCCTCACGTGTGAGTGTCGGTTCCCTCCTCATCGGGTTTTAGAGACGGTCGGGTGCATGGAAGCTTTACCAGCATTGCTGTTGAACGTTGGCGCCTCTCAGAGCTGTGACGGATGCATCGCCTGATTCTCAACCTGCCGCCATGTTTGTTTTCCACGTCAGGTTGTTGACTTGGCGACCGGCTGGACAAGACGAGGAAGCTGCAGACGGGAAGCACTTTGTAAGCAAACCATCTCGTACATCGCTAGAGTAACTGCTTTAATCCAGTTAAAAATGTTGGGATCCATCCATCCATGCGTTCTCTTCCACTTATCCGGAGTCGGGTCGCGGGGGCAACAGCTGCAGTCGGGGTTGTGATCATGTTTTTACTTTTCGTCTCCAGGATGCAGATTTCGACAGTCAGTCTCAGAGCAGCTACGACAGAGCTCTGTCCGAGAGAGGACACAGCCAGATGTCCAGCGACGACACCTGGAAGGGCAGATCCAACGCCAGTGAGTTTAATAAAGCCGCACACGCCTCAGATCGTTCCGATGGTGAGTCGTTTAAACCTTAATCCCTCCCCAGGAGTCTCAGACCAGAGGCTGTTTGCAGGGCTGCTGATTAAATGTGTCGTGCAGCTCGAGCTCATCCAGACTGTAGACAACATCGTCTTCTTCCCAGCAACCAGCAAGAAGGAGGATGCTGAAAACATGGCTGCAGCGCAGGTAGTCACGCAGAAGACCCTCACCTTCGAGGGTGTGTCATGGTGTCAAAGTTCAGCCTACGTGCTAACCTGCAGAAACAGCAGAAGAAAACCTGCTGGGGACTCATTTAACCTGGAAGAGCTTTCTCCTGCTCGCTGACTAACGGGCTCGACACACGGGAGGCGACGTCGCCTCTCCATTCATGTTCAATGAGACATGCGATAATCGCGGGTCTCCCACCTACTACGCGAAACGCGCGCGTGAAATTTTGCGCTCGTGCACGTGGCGTGCACAGGCGACCCAGAAAGTTGAAATATTTTCAACTTTTCATCGCCGTCGCTCGGACGAGGACCGACCAACGGAGGTTTCATTCACTGACCAATGAGCGGAGAGGATGCTCTCCGAGTGTACATGTAATAAGAAAATACACCCACCTAAAGGTGGAACACCAGACTAATACTGAACAGGCGTTCCTAATAGTCCTTTAGGTGAGTGTATATGAAAATATAATTATTGTTTATCATATTAACTTACCTTAGATGGATAGCAAGTCGTTCTTCTGGGCTTTGTAGGAGCCAAGAGCTGCGTTTGTGTACGAGATGTTTAACATCCTGTCTTCAGTCCAGTTTGCATAATTTCCAGTGAGACTAACATTTATCTGAATGTTTATCGGGAAGTCAAGAGCAGCGGATGGTTCCTGTCTCGTTGCACGGGTTGCTGGGAAAGACTCCCCAAACAGTTTCCAATTCATGTGTATGTGAGACCCATTTCCTAAGCCATGCAGAAGTGACGTCAGTAAAAAGTATAACTGGGGTCGCATCTTCGGTGTAAGCGGGCTTTTTCTGAGATCCAGCCGGCGGCCCGTTGCGTTCTGGCTGAACGCTGTCCCGAGTTACTGGTGGTGTGTTGCTGAACTGTACAAATAAACCGCCCCACGCTGTAAGGACATGGTTGTCTCATTCTCTTGTGTTTTGATGAGGAAAAGAACCGCAGCTCATTGGTTCTCTCATGTTTGTGTGAATCTTCTCTATCGTTGGGGTTACCAGGGTGAGAAGATGGACAAGTAGCTCTGGACTGAGGCGACGGTAGGTCCGGAGTTGATCAGGACTATCCTTGAGGTCCCTCATAAATGATGGTTTTCTCCGTTTCTTTCTCTGGTTTGTAACACGGGACGAACCCATTCTTGTTTGTTTTTTTTTATAGTAAAATCAGAAGTAAGATTTCACATAACTCTAGCAGCACCTTGTGACGCATCACCTCTACCGCGTTTTTAACTCTGAACCGCTTAAATAACCTTAACTCCCTCCAACCTGACACAGCCAATCAAAACAACGGAAGGTTCGATTTCGCCAGGGAACAGAACGCGTTGGCGGCTTTGCCGCTGCCGCGGGTCGCCTCCCCCGTGTCGAGCCCGCGACTCGGTTCAAACCCTAACTCTGTTACGGTTAGAGGTCACTAACCCTAACTACGTTCTCCAGTCGGGGATGGACGCCTTCTTGCACTTAGCAGTTCAAATGTCTTCCAGAGAGATGCTCTGGAGGAGTCGGAGGCTGACTGGGAGGATTCCAGACCGGATCAGGGCATGTACCGACACATGACCTCAGCTCACCTCTTCAAGCTGCTGGACTGTCTGCTGGAGTCGCACAACTTTGCCAAGGACTTCAACTCCAACAACGAGCAGAGGACGGCTCTCTGGAGGGCGGGTAAGCCGCTGCAGGCCTCGCTGTTCCTCTGGTTCATGAGATCGGTGTTGGATCGTGGAAAAAGGAGAAGTTCAGGCGTAGAGACTCCCGTGCATTCACTTTAATGGCAGGTGTCCTCTCTGCTCGCAGGCTTTAAGGGGAAATCGAAGCCCAACTTGTTGAAGCAGGAAACCAGCAGCCTCGCCTGCAGCCTCAGGATCTTGTTTAAGATGTACTCCGACCTGAAGCTGCAGGACTCGTGGCCCGACATCCAAACACGCCTGCTGCTGTGAGTACTGACCTGCAGCGTGTCGTCAAAGCATGAGGCTGAAGTCCGGCGGGGGGGCGGGGGGGGGGGGGGGGGGACGGACACTGTTTTAGCCTGGATGATTTGCTGAAGCTGTGACTGAGTTCTGCTGTCAGCAGTACCGGGTCTGCAGATAAAAACTGGGTTTGTGGAGACACAGGAAGATGTCAACAGGAGCAGCTTCGTGCCTTAAAGATGTCGTTTTAACAGATGTGAGGAAAAAAGCTGAATTATGTCGTCCTTGATTGATTTATTGTTGCCAGCTCTCTGGTGGATGAGCAGGACTCCAACATCTGTCATGACCGCGTGGGTTTAAGTGACCCGCCTCGCTGGTCACGGGTCTGCTGCGACTCACGACCGCGATCGTGCTGAAGTCTGGTTTATTAGCCGCCGCGTTAAGCTAGTTTGATTTGCTAACTGCAAACTCATTAGAGTAATGTTTGTTTCATGTGTGTGCGTGCGTGCGTGTGTGTGCGCGTGCGTGTGTGTTTCCTGTTTCAGAGTGTGTACCGAAGCTCTGAGCTACTTCATCAGTCTGACCTCAGAGAGCCACCGAGAGGCGTGGAACAGCCTGCTGATGCTGCTGCTCACCAGAACACTACGGCTGCCCGACGGCAAGGCACGAACACACACACACACACACACACACGTGTTCCATAGAGGAGAGCTGGATTATGATACATCCATCCATTAACGTGTTTTTGTGGTACTAAACCTCATCACTGACGACTCTTGGCCCTCCCCACGACTCGGTTCTTCCAGAGCACCTCAGGCCAAAGCGATTACAGATTATAGATCACATATTAAAGATATGATTGAAGAAGCAACTTGTGATGGTTCGACATGCATGACCACCCGGTGTTGTTGGGATTTAGCTGGTTCTGGACGGAGACCTGCTCCGAAAGCAGCTGAAACACTTTATTCTGGGACTTTGTTGTTTAACGCTCATCTCTGTCCTCCGTAGTTTAAGCCCCATGCTTCCTGTTACTACCCCCACCTGTGTGAAATGATGCAGTTCGACCTGATCCCGGAGCTGCGGGCCGTCCTCCGGCGCTTCTTCCTGCGCATCGGCTCCGTCTTCCAGATCGCCGCTCCTGAGGGGGCGCCCACCCGGACTCCCTCCTCCTAGGCAGAATCCAGGTGATGCTGTGGATCCGTAGAGAGGAAACCTGAAGGTGGACCTGATACTTGAGAATCTTTCCTCCCTTCTGCTGGTCCGGATCCGAGACGGAGACAAAGTCCGGAGGAGGTTGTGGGTCTTGGTTCAGGACTTGGCATCTTCTCTCGGGGGTGAACAGCTCTGTGACCGGCGCTTCCTGCTGACTGTCGTCTTTCATCCTACAGCGACCAGAACAAGAAGGAAAAACGACTCTAATATAATTTATTGTTGCAGATCCTGTTGCCCCACTTTTCTTTTCCGCTCTAAAAACAAATGAAGCCTTCGGTCCGATTGGCTTTTTGCCAACTGTGCCTGTTAGCAACGGATGATTCTCCACGTGACCGTCGCATCTGTATGAGCCTGACTGAAGCTGCAGGCGACGCGTCAACGATCACCCCGGCTCATCCTGTCCTCTCTCACGCGCCCCAGTGAATTTTTACTTATTCGTTGTTTCTCGTTTGCAGTAATTTGATTATTTCCCCACTAAAATCACTTATTTACATCAAAGAGTTTTACTGGTGAAAAAAATGGCTGCTTCCTCCCTCCAGATCTCCCATCGATTGGCTCCATCAGAACCATTATTCTCTCTTTTGCACACCCGTTAGTGACGTTTTGCTCTCATTAACCATGACTAGGATAGCCTGTCAGTGTTGGCTCTCTGTAGTGATAGTTTCACACCAACAGGATGAATATCTGCATCCCTCTGGAACGTTTTTCATGCCTTTTTGTTCTTCGATGAAGGATGTAAGTAATTATTGAAAGTGCATTTAAATATTTTTTGAAAAGCATTCCTTTCCTCGCCACTATGGATGTCTACTTTTCTCCCCTGAAGTCGGGGAAAACTATAAATATATATATATTATAAATGAAAAAGTACAGACTGTAAAGTTTTCCATGTAAGATACATAAAACTGAAAGTGCTCTACAGTTCTATACATAATATTGTGATGTAATCTTCCAGGTATTTGGTGAAGTAATCAATAAACCTGAATTCTGGTCTGTTCCACTTATTCCTGCTTTCAGGGTGTTGATTATAAACTTGAGAGGATTTTCATCAAGATTTCAGAAAGTTTCCGTTAAATGGAAAATGAAACGATAGAGACTCACGAAACTTATTTATTTTTGCCTTACAGGCTTGAATAGATGGTTTTATGGAAAAAAACCTGAAACTGGTTTGTTTCAAAACAGGAAAAGATGTTAAATATAGCTATGAGTTGACATTTTCTTCAAAAAAAAAAAAAAAAACTACGGAAATTTGTTTCTTCTTGCATCTGGTGGGCCATTCCCACCTGTACCGGGTCGGCCCGGGCCGGGTAGCCCCAGTCGGCCCCAGCCTGGCCCGGTTGATTCCACACATCCTTGCCTTAAGCCCATGTGGGCTGATTCTACCCACCAATCAGAGGCTTGCTCTAATGGAAGGTGTGAATTTGCTGTCAGCAGTGGGCGTGTTGGCCCTGGTCGGCCTGAAGCAGTACCCCTCGGGAAGAGGGCCGAGAATGAGCCTTGGTTGGCCCGGGAAAATTCCAGGCCACCCAGATATGTAAACAACCTACGCTACCCGGCCCGGGCCGACCCGGTACAGATGGGAATGACCCATAATAGCCAATCGTAGAAGAGCCCTTCCAGCCAATCAGAGGCGAGAAAGGCGGGACCTTCCTTGAACATCCTAGAATGACGTTTCACGCTTCGTTTAAACTTTTTTTTTCGTTTTTATTACCCAAACACGAACAAGGAGAGGAACAGGCGCCACCTAGTGGTAGAACACGTTTTTGCTAAACCCAAACCAAGTTGGCTACCGCGCTATTGCCTAAATATGAACGAGGATGGTGAATTTACGCCATCTAGTGGTGACAAGCTATAACTACATCCTGATTCTATTGCTTCTGGAACAGGGGTCACCAACGGTGCCCCCTGTTTCACTGGTCTTTTCTCCTGAAAGCACAAAACTAAAATAAAATTTAAAAAAATCTGCTGCCATCCTTTTAATCAGAAATTAAATGTTACAGATTTACAATCTAGTTTTCTGTGTAAAACACCCATTACATTATGTTCATTATACATGTAGTTAAACTCTGATATTTTCTAGTTCAAAGGTCAGCATTATGTCAACCTGGTAGCCCTTTCTATGGCCCAATACCTGTTAAGTATCTCAGTTTCACAAAGGCTGGTGACCCCTGAACTAGAAGATAATATGTTCAGATACAATAAATAAAACACTGTTGGATCATTTGTGTGCATATAAATAAAGATGTGTGAAAATACCATGTGGGAATATTTAAAAAAAATCGGCGATTTAAAATCTAAATGGAAAGCTAGCAATCTGACGTATGACCACGGGGTGGCGCTGTGGTCAAACGTACTGTTTAACGAGGAAGCGCTACATCCTGGGGTAACAAAGGTTACTATGGAGACCTCTCACATCTTTTGTTTCAACTTTAGTGGAAAGATGCTCAGCAGCTGCCACGTTTATCCACGTAAAGAAAGCGTTATTAAAAAAGCAGTAAGTTAAATCTATGTTCAGGCGTAAAATCTTTAAAGGTCTTAACGAGTTTGTTTCTTTTCCAGTTGGCGCCTCGGCTACAGCTAACGATAGCAGCGCGTTCGTCTATTTAAACGTCTTTAACGTGATGAAGTGTTCTGCGTGTTGGAGCTGGCTGAACTGATGCGGTGTGACCGCAGATGGTGGCTCGCAGCGTCTCCGGTGGTACGTAAGAAACGTAGGTCGGTGGGCGGACTAGGCAATTCTTTGAGCGTTAGCCACGCAGGCTAATGACGGTTAGTAGTAACCGTGACACCGCTAGACATGACTGTGTGAAGACCATCCTACAAGTAAGAGATTCTGTTCATTTTGCGGATAGAGTCCCGATGTTCGTGTCCACCACGCAGGAGAATGAACGTTCGAAGCGGGGCTAATGGGGCTGGGGTTTTCCTCCTACCGCAAAAGCCTGAGGCTGGCGGATACATGCGCAGCATTTTAACTTGTCTCATACAAGGTTTCTGTGCCGGGCGTATTTTGTGCTTTGTTTCTAAAAACGTTGGCGGGTCTGTAGCGTGATCATCGCTGGTGGGAGCCCGACTTGTAGCCTGCATTCTGCCTCTTTTTTCGACCGTGCGACGGCGAACGCTGACAGCCATATTCCACTGCAGCGTAGCTAGCTTTAGCTGGAGGTGGAGCTGGCCCCGTCCTTAAATCCCCGCTGAATTAAGATGCTTTTATTCGGATTGTTGGTCTGGTTAAACCGTGTTTATAACAGGGTGGTGTTGCAAAGCGGCATATTTGTCCGTGGTGTGATCAAAGCTCCTACCCAAGTGTGTGTCAGGAGAATGGAATGAGTCGGCCGATGTTGCGTTCAGGAGCTGCTTCCTTCATCACTGAGGGGAGAGTAGTTTATCAAATGTTTAAGATGTCTTTGAAAGATGAAGCTGTAAGATGAAGTTTATATAAACTGTGTTCATGTTAATGTTACTTTTACTTGTAGCTTATTTACTAAAATTTACAATGAGAGAAACGTGACTTACACACGTTATTGAATACATTTGATGTTATTTTAACAATGATTGACACGTGTTGCGCCGGGATTGCGTTTTAAATGTTGGAGTCAACAGTTTGTTTATTAAAATGACAGGTTGTGAAGAACAGTCCAGAATCTTCCACTAAAATCGGACGCGAACGCAGCATCTTTGCGTGAGTTCTGGTACGTGATGTGGGCGGGGCTTTAAGGAGGCACGTACGGCACGGTGGGCTCATTGCACAGTGCACACACGCATAAAGTGAGCTGTTTGGTAGCAGGCGCTGCGTTTGACAGATTTTCTTCTCACGGAGCTTCGCGCTGACAGAGACGGAGGTTTTCGGCGACTAAAACCAGGGACCGGGACGGGAGAGAGGCTTTACCCCGCTGGTAAGCCGCTCACCGCGGAAGGGAACCATACAGGGCGGTTAATATTTAATCCGTTCTGGGTGATTCTGTTTGTAAAGTTTAATTGTTTTATTTGCAAACGAGAGTCCAGAGTCCACCAACGACAGCGAGGCCAGGTTATTGTTTTAGGTGTTGGTGTGATTTAATAAATGCTAATGCTACTGGAGGGCTGCTGTGTTAACGTCAGCGCAGGGCTATGAAAGCCACGTGCTGGGGGCTTGGGACCATGTGGCTTTTGTAAACACTGCGGCCTTATTGTGGCGGACTCCGTTTCCTTTACAGCGACATATGGGTTAAAGCTGCTACTAGATATTTGTTTCTTAAAAGTCTCTCTGCTCATGTTGCTTTTAACCGCCAGACAGGCAGTCGGAAGAGCAGCAGCAGACAGCGTATGATGTCAGGACCATTTTGCATGATGATCATTTAATTATTAGGCTTATTTACTTATCTTAAATGTCAATATTGTTACAGAAAAGGTCAGGTTCCCCCATGACAGCCAGCAGATAGTTTAGATCACCTGCCTGTTCTTTCCCCTCCCACATCTTTTTTTTATTCCCCTTATTTTAGTAAATCACAAAATATCTTTGTTTCTGGGATTTAGTTTCTCTTACAGCTTCAGGAAGTGATGAGGAACATCTAGAGTAACCATGACTTTATGAGCATAATGAGATTGTTTACTTTTACAGATGAGAGGGTTACATTAGTGCAGAAGTCAGCTGATCGTTGGGGTTAGACAGCAGGCTGTCAGTGTTAGGCCTCTAAAGGGCTGAAATGTAGAGCTGCTGATGAATAAATGCATGTTTTATCTCAGCAGATATGATTTAATCAATGCCTGTGTGTTTACTCTTGTTTTTGTTTACCCTTAAAATCCCCTCAAACAAAACTATATAAAAAAACCTATCAAAGAAATTTAAGAAATTTATCTTTACTGTTTAAAAAAAAATTTGGTGGGTGGGGTGTCATTTTAACATTTTTTTAATCTAGCTTTTTATGTTCTTTGTCTGATCCAGATTCTCATACCAGTTCATTCCCTACCAAACTTTTTATATGAATGTATAATCATAAACCACAAAACCACCCGATTTATTATCTTGGATTTAAAGAGCAAGTCACCCTCAATTCTTTTTTTCTGATAAACTGTATAAATGCGTGTCTAGTCATGCTGCAGACGCGTGTAGTCAATAGTTTTGCACTCAAGTGTTTTTTAGTTAAAAATTTCTGCCTAAAACTGTCAGTGTTGTGCCGTTGTCAGGTCAAAACTCTGCACTACATTTGAATTAAAATCTGCCATCGCTATTGGCTAAGAGGTACCCTAGAATGTTAGATGGTACCATATGATGTCACAGTGTTGTTGTGAGCCTGTGTGTGTGTGTGTGTGTGTGTGTGTGTATCTGTTAGCGGCTCTACCCTCTTGGTCTGCTAGGCAACAGCATTTGTTGGGTTTTTCAAACAGGAAGTGGGAGTGGAGTAAGAATCTGGTAGGGGGTGACTTGCTCTTTAAAAAGTTGGAGAGGAATGTTTTCTAGTTGAGATGGAGGCTGTTGACTTAAAGAGCAAGTCGCCCCTACCAGATTCTTACTCAACTCCCACTTCCTGTTTGAAAAACATAACAAATGCTGTTGCCTAGCAGACCAAGAGGGTGGAGCCTCTAACAGATACACACACACACACAGGCTCACAACAACACTGTGACATCATATGGTACCATCTAACATTCCAGGGTACCTCTTAACCAATAGCGATGGCTTCAGAGAGAGTGAGAGTGAAGTAAGTTTCTTGTAGGGGGTGACTTGCTCTTTAATTATTTTCCAGATTATACCAGACCCTAAAGGTGGAATAGGAGATTTTCTTGTCATTCAAGAAAACTTTTGGACAACAACCGTTACTAACACCTTTTCTGCCATCCGTCCCACCGCGCTCCTCCGTGAGAGCGGGGGTGAGGGGGTTGCACACGTTCCGCTGCTGTTTCTCACCCGTATCAGCTGATGGAGGGCATTAGTTTCGTGGCGCCGTTCGTGTCAGCGGACATGGTCGGGGAGGGGGGGCGGAGCGGGGCATGACGCTTAGCCTGGCGGCCTGCCAGGCTTTGCTTGTAAAGCGCTGGAGGAAACCCTGCATTAGGTCAAAACATCCTGAACGTCCTCGGACTCCCTCTGCCCTCTCCTCTGCTCCCAACGCACATCCGTTGTCAAGGCAACAAACTGACAGAGAGCTCTGCTGGTTGGAGGAGGACTGGCTGCATTCACAGACAACAGGTCCGTCACATAAAGGTTTCCCAACAGCCAGGGGGGTGGTTTTATGGATCGATCCATCATTAAAATCCGGACATTCACAATGATTGAGTAACGTTTTTCCAAGGTTGTATGTTTCTGAGGCGATAGTTAAAAGGGTTTTTCCTGCGTACAAATTTGCGTGGCGACCGCCTCCAGCTAATTTTGTGCCGCCCCAGCCTGATTTCACTCTGTCCCCAGCTATATGGATGTTATTTTAACTGCAGTTGCAGCGTTGCGCCACCACAGGGGCGCTGTATCAGCAGGGGCGCACTGAAAAGCGCTAGTTGGTACATATCTGTGGTTGGTGCTATTGACATCCCGATTTTCCCCCAGGCTCTTCCATATCAGAGCAGGGCTGTACTGCGTGTCTGTCTATTTTTAAATGTAGCACTGGTGCAACAACTGTGACTTACTATTTTCCCCAGAACTTTATTGAACAAAAGTAAGTTACATGTAAGAAAAATGCCTTTTACAGGCGCACAGTGTGGCCATCTGGATGCAGTGGAGGAAAATGCAGGAACCAGCAGAAGTGAGGCACTTGAATGCACAGAGCATGCTTGTGCTGGCGCATGGTCAGGATGGTACCACCTCTGCCTCGATCTGAGCCAGGAAACCCCCTGAACCATCTTTATTTATGGCCAATTTTCAAGCAACGTTCGTGTAGGGGACGTATAAACGGGTTGAATATAGACAACGTGAGTAAACAAAGGCGTCTAAATGCTCAGAGTGGAGGTCAAAGGTCACTGATAAGGACGTGGCTGTCTGCGCGGAGCGGCGGAACAGACTGGCTCTCTGATCTCTGCTCACCTTCCTCGGTTTGCTTCACCCCGTCTCTCCAACACATTCACTAAACTATTTTCTCATTAATGGCTCTGCCATCTGCTCCTAATGTAACCGCCCAATTAGAGCGGTGCTCTTTGACCTCACCTGTCCAAATTTCATTTGAGAGTCCACAGCCCCCCCCACCCCCACACACACACATATTATCATATCTGGATAAGCTATCCAGACTCTGACCTCTCGTTGTTGTCTCTCTGCAGGGCCTGAGCTGATTTGTCAGCCGTGTGTAGGTTTGGTTTGCACCCTTCAAGTGTCCTGTGACTCTGGGCTCACCATGGTGGTCTGAGCACACAAAACGGGGGGAACGCAGAAAGACGCGACCTGAAGAGGAGCAGAGGGACGGACTGGACACAGAGAGAAACGGACAAACTGAAAATGTCTCAAAACCAAGAACTAGTTCTTTTCTATATTAGATATAAACTGTCACAGAGGAACTATCCCCTCAACCACATAGTCCTCAATGACCCCCTAAACAGGACTGGTGCGGGGGATGCGGTGGTGGGGGGTGAGGAGGAGAGGACAGAGACACACGCCAATGGGACCTTTAACAGGACGAGTCCCGGGACCCCAGCGGCGTCCCCGCTACGGCAGCAGCCGCCGGCGTCCACGACGGACATGGACCGGGTGAAAGAGGCCCTCCGAGACACGGCCAACGAGTTCGAGCTGCGATACGCCCGCGCCTTCAACGACCTGCACAGCCAGCTGCACATCACGCCCGCCACGGCCTACCAAAGCTTCGAGAACGTGATGGACGAGGTGTTCCGGGACGGCGTCAACTGGGGGCGCATTGTGGGACTCTTCGCGTTCGGCGGCGCGCTGTGTGTAGAGTGCGTGGAGAAGGAGATGAGTCCCCTGGTGGTCAGGATCGTGGAGTGGATGACCGTCTACCTGGACAACCACATTCAGCCCTGGATCCAGAGTCAGGGAGGATGGGTGAGTCCACCACACCTGCTGTGACGTGTTCGATGTTCTGGATGCTTCTTGTTCTTCTTTTAAAGCTCGACTGCCTGCAGAGCGTTTCTTTGATTTTTATGTGCTGGTGGGTGTGTGGTCGGCTCTGTGGCGGTGAAGGCGATGGTGGAGAATACCGCCGAAGTCTGTAGAACTGTGTGTGTTGTAGAAGAATAGAAACAAAGGTTTGCAGGGTCAGCAGCTGCTTCTGCTGTCCTCTAATTGATCAGCAGCTGGGAGCTCAATGAGCTGAATCCAAGCGGGAGCTTAACTGGCTTCTCTGGGGCTTTGCGGCTCTGCTGCAGGCCGCCTGCCCGGGTGATCGAAGTTCCCAGCAGAGGGCGGATGAAGTCCGGGGCTTTTACAGATCATCTTTTGTTTTGCTCCGGTCACTTGATTGGCTCTGTTCTCCACTCCCTGAACATCTGAGCGTTTTCTCAGTAGTTTTTCTCTTTTGTCCTCCTCCAGCTGTATGCACACGGAAGCTTTGTTCTGGAGGTTTCTGGGTTTAGTTGTGATTTGGTTCTGAGTCGGTGTGTTTATGTCCACCTCTGGGATTTCTGATATAAAGCAGCGGGGTAGGGGGGGTTTATGTCCACCGTGGTGCTGGACGACAGCAGGTCAAAGGTCGGTTCTATGGAAACTGACTTCCCTGTGCCTGGAAGCGTGGCTCAAAGGAACCTTTGTTCGACACACTGTAGCTTTGCTGTTTCATTTGTTTGTTTTTAAACTTGAGTTTCCACAAAAGAGGCATTTTTTACGGCTGAGTGGACGCCTCCACCTTCAACGCGTCCGAGCCAGTACTCACATCTGAGTACTCGTTACTAACAAGTGTCATTACGCTCCTTGACAGTAACTCGTTTTATTTTCATTGTTTATATTAAACATAAATGAACTATAAGTTTTATTTTCTATGTAAGCAGTTTAATTCTGGGTCTGGGAACTCTCCTATTTAAATAACCCCGCCCCCAGAGAATATTAAGTGAGCCAATCAGCGCTGAGTAGCATACGTCACACACCACACCACAACGCCGAGTTTGTCATAAACATGGCGACTTGGGTTGTCACGGTGTGAAAATGTAACCTCACGGTTATTGTGACTAAAATTATCGCGGTATTTTTTAAAAGTGTTACATTTTCAGACAACTACATAAACCCTGTATATCAGGAAATATTGTCCTCAGTTTGTGTCTAACTTTTGCCTAAAATGTGTTATTTTGTAATTATATTGTTTATTTGTTTAAATTTTTCCCCTTTAGTCTTTAAAATACCAATATTTGCCCATAACTTCTTATTTTTTGTCTGTTTGATGTCATCATTTTAAAAATATTAGACTAGATGATACTCAGTACTCAAGTAGCCTTCTAATCAGATACTTTTTTACCCTTACTTGAGTAATAAACCCTATATCAGGGAAATATTGTCCTCGGTTTGTGTCCTTCCAGTGAGCTTTGCAGATGTGGGAAAATGTCATCAGGCAGTAATCATTGTTAAATTCATAATTATTCTCGGAGAGAGACCAACTCTTATCTGCCCCTGGGAGCCCCGTAATGCATAGCGTCATTTCAACATGGGGGTGTCCGCGACACGGTTTATATGCAGGTAGCGGCGCTGCGGCTGCTTTATATAGCGACTCGTTGCATTCTCCCTCAACCCAAATCCTCGGATCACGCATTTTAGCTAAAACGCTAACGTTAGCTTGCCTTGCGTTGACTGTAGAGTTGTGGGTGATGGTCACGCAGATGTGTCATGAGATTTGAAGCGTTGCTGCCTTTCACAGACACTTTTTCTGCACGTGCTGCAAACAGGATAGCCGTCTTCTATCAGCTGTCCCTCGGCATTCTTCAGATATCCCAAAAATGCCCGTTCTTCCCACTTTGTCTTCTCTGAGGGATAATAAATGTCCTGAGCGCTGCCGTCTCCTCCTTTGGCCATTATTTCATCTTTAGCTTCAAGAAAGTTTTGGTTGTAAACAACAAAGCGTGTATGTGCCGCCGGCAACTTCAGCAGATGATACGGTGGCTGGTAAGGGTCACCGCGCCCACACCGCAGCCACGGTAACCCACCGAGATAATATAGTTTTAAAAACAAGACGGTTGTTATTATTGTCAACTTTTTTACCGGGGTCTACCGCTACACCGGTTACCGTGACAACCCTAGTGCAGACTTAAACAGGATGAGTCTGGCAGGCCAGGCTGCTTATTCTTAGTGTTACATTTTTACCTCCAACACAGAGCCAACAACCGACCCTTACCTGAGCTGTCTTTGTGCTGAAAACCTGACTTATCACTTCACGATGCCACGTACTTAAAATACAAACGCGTGTCAACTTTACTCTGATTACTTGTTTGGACATTGTGATGTGGAGCTGCCGCCCCGCGTGACCTGCACCAGAGCTCCACCGATATTGGTTTTTCTGTAGCTGATACCAGTGTCGATATGCATTGGTCATGGTCAGCCGACGGCACATATTTAGATGTTTTCCGCCTTATTTGCGTGTAAAAATGTCACAGAGAACAGAAGCTGGCCGACTAAATGACTGAACCTGAAACTGAGTTTAAAGAAATCTAATTTGTACACAACTCAGTTTTAAAAACAGACGTCCGAAGTATTAAATATTCAAATTTCATGAAATTATGAAACTACATTAGAGATCAAAATAATATTTTAGAGTGTTTATTATACAGATGTTATTCAGGAACATTCATGTTTATTATCCTGCAGCAGCGCCGGGCTGCCTGGGAATGTGCCTGACTTTAATCGGCTCTAGTTAGGAGGTAACCCGGGTCAAATGATCCAAACAATCAACGGAACCCTTGACATATGAACACGTTTAGCCGTCGACTTTATTTTAGTCACCTTTGTTCACCTGGTAACATCTCCACACGCTGACAGCTGCTTCAAGTCTCACAGACGCTAAATGATTTAACGGTGATTTTAAATCACCAAACACCGTCTAAGCCAACGGTGAGCGTGTTGGTAAACTTTCCAATCGTGACCACGGTCTTTCTCACATGGTTGCTGTGGTAACCACGGTGTAATCAACACTTCAGTCACTCACAGGTGATCCCACACGGTTACCACGAGTACGTCAACATTGGTTTTCGTATAAAAACACTTGTTCGTGTCATCGTAACCCAGATACGGAGAAGTTAATGACTTCATCACCAGGACGTTTCACTTCCCCAGCGTCGAGCACATGATCCCACTTCCGTCCTCCCCGAGCTGCCTTCAGATTCATTCAGCCTGAGGAGGAGTAAAGATCAGATGGAGGTTCGGGTTCTCTCGTTCCAACACCGGGACACTCGGGGGAGGGGGATAAACTAAAAAGTTTATTTTCATCAGGTGGTTTTTCCGCCCCCTGTCGCCGTGTGTTCAAACACATCCTACATCTTCTGTGAAACATGCCGGTCTCCAAGTGAACCCACTCGAGACTTTGTTGGGTTTTCTGTCTTTCATTTCCCTCTTTCTTCCTTCCTTTCGTCCCCCGACGCCTCCTCAGAGAAAGGGAGTCAAAGCAGTTGGCAGATAGGGGGTAGCTGTGAGGCAGGTGTGCCCCCGGTGTTCACTGATGAAACGTTAGTCTGCTCTCAGCAGCAGCAAGGTCACTTTCTGTCTTAGGCTTCGTTTTCTTAAGGAAGAGTTTTTATGAAGGCTGTTGCAGACTCCATGCAGAGTAGCAACAACAGCAAGTCTGGAGCATCTGAAAACCAACTGTTTTTGTGTATTTGGGTTCAGAGTCGGCTCATTTTTTCCACACTGACTCGTCAGACCCTGAAGGAGTTGAATTGTGAAAAGTGAAAGGTGTTTTGCACAACCGAGCAAACCTCACTGTCGTAAAAAACTGGAAGCCTCGGCCTAATGATCCCGCCGGTGCTTATTTCCAGTCTTCCCTGGGATATTTGATTGCAGCTAAGGATGCGAGATGAATCTGCTCAGCCGGAGCTCCCGCCGCAGCTCGTGGTTTTAAAGGAAGCGCCGCAGTGAAGCCGTATATTGTGGGATAATAAACCTCCCTGGCAGACAGCAGCGACCTAATAACGCCGTTTCCACTAGAGCAGGCGATGGCGGTGATTACTCGGCGGAGATTGAGCTGCCTCAGGGTGGGTGTACGGGGTTATTACCAATTATGGATGAATAATATCTGAACCTGCTACGGGGAAAACCGTTTTCTCTCTCTCCGACAGACTAATGAAGGCGAGAGTTAGGCGAACATGCTGCCGTGGTCAGGAGACGCTTGGTTGGAGCTTGATGGGAGCGAGGGAATCAGGAAAACGAGAAGAGAAGAAGAGACGCGCTGGTTTAGACGTGCTTTGTGCTCGTGATGGTTTCAGAGAGGAAAGCCAACTCCAAAAGGAGCGTGCTCGCTCGGCTGAGGTCCTTTCATGTGGCTCAGATTTCTCTTATGGTGGTTTTAATGGTGGATTCTGCTGGGCAGTAACCAGTGTTTGGAACAAGTCAGTCATAGATTAGTTTAAATAAAAGACAAAAGTCCTCCTTAAATTAAATAAATCATAATAACTGGACGTGAAAACATGAATTTAATTGTTTCTGATTAATGAACGGATCGCTCCGGGGATCCTGATCTGTTCCTCCGGGCCTCAGAGCGCCATTCCCATCCAGGAACAATAACACACACACACACACACACACACACACACACACACACACACACACACACACACACACACACACACACACACACACACACACACACACACACACACACACACACACACACACCACACACACACACACACACACACACACACACACACACACACACACACACACACACACTGATTTATGGGTGGGGAAGTGATCCGTTACCAGAAAGTGCAGCGAGCACCAGCTAAAAATAAAAATACCGGTTTGTGACTAAATTCTTCCTATTTGGGTACCACCAGGCTTCCTGCTGGCGGCCCTTTTCTGTACAAGCTGTTAATAATAGTGCCATCAAACAAATGTGTGATTGTTTTAAT